ATTTTATCTGGTTGTGCTACCATTTTCATTGTTTTATGTTATTATGATTTATAATCAGTTTTTCCTGTGCTATTGGAATGGCAACTGCATTTTTTAAACTTCATTTTTCAATTACAGTTTACATTCAATATTATTTTAGTTTAGTTTCAGGTATATGCATTTTAAAAATATTTAAAAATATATATTTTTATTGATTTCAGAGGGGAAAGAGGGAAAGATAGAAACATCAATGATGAGAAAGAATCATTGATTGGCTGCCTCCTGCATGCCCCCAACTGGGGATTGAGCCCGAAACCCCAGCATGTGCCCTGATTGGGAATCAAATCATGACCTCCTGGTTCATAGGTCAGTGCTCAACCACTGAGCCAACTGTGTATACATTTTTTTAATAGAGCAAAATAATACAAAAGAACTATAATAATTGGAGCACATGAAGATCCACTGTTGTTTACTTTTTGTTAGAAATTGAGATGATAGAATTGAGATTAAGAAATTTTGGTGGGCCGAAACCAGTTTGGCTCAATGGATAGAGCATGGGCTTGGGGACTGAAGGGTCCCGGGTTCGATTCCGGTCAAGGGCATGTACCTTGGTTGCGGGCATATCCCCAGGAGGGGGTGTGCAAGAGGCAACTGATTGATGACTCTCTCTCATCGATGTTTCTCTCTCTCTCTCTCCCTTCCTCTCTGTACAAAATCAATAAATCATATTTTTTAAAAAAAAAAAAAAAAAGGAAATTTTGGTGGCAAGATCATTACAATTCTCTATAAAGTAGAACTCGGCTTCTTTGCAGATCTCCAAAGTGTGAATTTGACAGTTTAGCAGAACAACTCGATAATCTCACATACTTCTGGTGAGGTGGACACCCTTTACATTTTTAACGATGAAAATGAAGTCTATTAAATTTAAACTCTGAAAAAAGCCCAAAGATCCTTCAATGTGTGAAACACCAGAGTAAATTAACTAACTCTATTTTCCTTAGTCATGGAACGGAGAACAGTCAGGTCTGAGTAATTCATTCAATTTTAAGTGGCAGTGACCTTGTGCCCTCTATGGTCAAATGGGCACACTACAAGCAACAAGCAGCTCTCTTGGAAGGAAGAGAGCCCTGGTCCAGCGGCTCAGGTGGGAGTGCTGTCCTGATGTGCCAGGGTTAAGGCTTGTTCCTGTCAGGGCACATAGAGGAATCCACCAGTGGGTGCATGAGTGGAAGGAACAGCAGATTTCTGTCTCTCCCCACCTATCTTTCGAGATAATAAAGGAGAAAAAGATTAAACAAGTAGGAGGGCATAACAATGAGAATTGAAGGGAAGACCTTCAAACTTAGTGTGAAAAGTAGAAGATATAAGACAAGGCAAAAAATACTTTGGTGTGACTGAGTAGATGTGCTTAGGGTCAGCTTATTGAGTGGATAAAGATTTAATTATAATTATAAGCAAAAGCTGAGCATAAAAGGTCACTAACAGAATTCAACTTAAGAAAGTTATTTTCCACAATGTAATGTACAGTTGATGTATTATAGAATTATATACTTGAAACCTATATAAGTTTAGTTATTAGTGTTACCCCTCCTTCTCTTATTGTATTTAAGGCACTTTTCACTTGTGAAATGCAATGGGACATTTGGGGTACTTCCCATTTCATTTATAGGCTCTGCAGAGTGGGGCTATGTATTCACATGAACAAAATTTAGTTATCACAAAATGTTGATATTCATTTTAGAAGCATTTCTATCTGCAGCAATTAGTATATAAACTAATATTATTTTCCCCATTCTCTTCTATTGGTTTGACATTCTCTGTAATTAATTTTTTATGATGGTGCAAAATCAGTTTTGAGAAAAAAGTTTAACTCAATACAAAATATTGCAGTTGGTATTAATGGTTTTTACTGTACAGTAAAATCTCATTTCATGAATATAAATTGCTGTTTTTAAAAATAAATTGCTCTGTTGTATCCAGATATCATTAAAATGTAAATTTTCTGCTACTGTGAACAGACAAGACTGTTTCATCACTTCAGTAAAATAAATGCTAAGCACGTTGTTCACATCATCAGCACAGTACCCTTTTTCTTTGTGTGCCTTCTTATCTCCTAATGTTAGCTTGACAGTAACTTATGGTGTGCTGCTAGATAAGTCATCAAAATCCAGGGGTAAGAGTCCTGGTTGGTAAAATGTGGAAACTAAGGGCATGACTTGCAACTTCAGTTCCTATCTCACTGGACACAACCTAGTCACATGGTATGACTGGGCGGAAAACTGGGACATTAGTTTCAGCCGAGCTGCCCAGTGCCAGCTACGACTTCGATAGTCATCGAAGGGGTAACACGCTAGAGGGACAGAGTAGTCTCTGCTACCGTGTCAATGAGACAGTACGCTCTGGGTTTGACCCATTCCCTCTCAAAAGACCTAAGATTCCAACCAAGTGGGACAGTCAGTAAAGGGATCATCTTGAATGTGTATATTTAAAAAGTTATTAAAAACTCCAAATCTTGATCTATTGTTAATAACTACTAATCCCTGATCTCTCACCAAAACACTACAGCTGTTGAGTTTTGTGGCTGTTTCCCAGCCCAAGTATGTAATTCATTAGTAAAAACACCCCAGTTCTCCACCTCGAAAATTACATCAGAATAAATAAAGAAAAACATCATGGAAGAGGGTGAACTGCTTATCATACTGGGCCAGCCAAGTCCAAGGGATTATCTCTTAACGTAGAGAGTGTGGCGTATAATAGATACGTTACTTTTATCTGCACAACGCCCTCATTCTGCTGGGCATTCACCACCCCCATCTTGCCTTGGGGAATTACCACTCAAATCCAGTCACCTGAACAGCAGTCTTCTCATTCTGTCCTCACCTGGCAGGGGGTAAGAAACTTTGGAATCTTTTAAAAATATTTTTTAATGTTTTTTAAAAATTGATTTGAGATAGAGAGAGCCGGGATCGGTTTGGCTCAGTGGATAGAGCGTCAGCCTGCGGACTGAAAGGTCCCGGGTTGGATTTCGGGCATGGGCATGTACCTGGGTTGTGGGTACATCCCCGGTGGAGGGTGTGCAAGAGGCAGCTGATCTCTCATCGATGTTTCTAATTCTCTATCACTCTCTCTTCCTCTCTGTGAAAAATCAATAAAATATATTTGAAAAGAAGAGAGAGAAAGAGAGAGAGAGAGAGAGAGAAACATCCATCGACTGCCTCCTGCACGTGCTCTGATCGAGAACCGAACCCACAACCTTCTGGTGTACAGAATGTTCCAACCAACCAAGCAACACCGGCCAAGGCAAGGATGTATTTCTTAAAAAAGATTTGCTTCTTGCACCATCTGCTTTCTCGTTTCCCATTTCCTTCTTTGCCTTTCATGGTCAAGATGTCTCAGCTACTTGACTGGTAATTGCCTGTTCATGTATTTTTTAAAACTACATTTTTATTGATTTCAGAGATGAAGGGAGGGAGAAATATCAATGAGAATCACTGATTGGCCGTCTCTTACATGCACCCTATTGGGGATCAAGGGCGCAACCCAGGCATGTGCCCTTCACTGGAATCGAACCTGGGACTCTTCAGTCCACAGGCTAACGCTCTATCCACTGAGCCAAAACAGCCAGAGCTTGCCTGTTCATATATATATTTTTAAAAATATATTTTATTGATTTCTTTACAGAGAGGAAGAGGGATAGTTAAGAAACATCGATCAGCTGCCTCCTGCATACCCACCGTTGGACTTGGCAACAGTGGAATTAACATTCCATGGGCAAAAATAAAATTTTTTAAAAGCATCAAGATGCCCTAGCTGGTTTGGCTCAGCAGAAAGAGCGCTGGCCTGCTGACTGAAGGGTCCCAGGTTTGATTCTGCTCGAGGGCACATGCATGGGTTGCAGGCTGTCCCCAGTAGGGGGCGTACAAGAAGGCAGCCAATCAATGATTCTCTTACCATTGATGTTTCTCTCTCCTCTGAAATCAATAAAAATACATTTTTTCTAAATTAAAAGGTTACATTTGATACTCAAACTATCTTTAAAATATGGTAAAGAAATATAGTACTGACTTGTGAAGTTCTTTATACATGAAGACTATCCTTTGATATGTTGTATTTTTTCTTGTATTTTCAAATCCTCACAGGTAGAGTGGGTAAGAATACAACTTGGGGGCTAGACTGGGGTTCAAAACCTGACCGGCACTTTCTAGCCATAAAACTCGGGAAAGTTAACTCAGCACCTGTTACAGGTTTGTGTATGGGAACAACAGTACCTACTGTCTAAGGTTTTTGAGAATCAAATAATTACTTTATTCGTGTAAGTTTAGTTCTGCCTAAGCACTTAGAACAATCCTCAGTGCATATTAAGCTTTATGTAATTCTTACCTATGGTAAGGAAAACAGATGACATACATGGAGTCCTGTCTTTTTTTAAAAAAATGTTTTTATTGCTTTGAGAGAGGGAAGGAGAGGGAGAGACAGAAACATCAATCGGCTGCCTCCCATATGTATCCCGACCTGGACCCGAAGCTGCAACCCAGCCACGGCCCTGCCTGGGAATGGAACCGGCAACCCTTGGTGCCCAGGACGACACTCAACCCTCTGAGCCACCCCGGCCAGGGCACCCTGTATTTCTTAAGTCTTGTTTAAATCAAGAATTTGTTTAAAACTCTCTCTTTATTTGAAAAATATAGAAACTAAAAGTCTCCAACTTCTTGTAGATGTTGGAAACTTTCATTAAAAATCTCTTGGATATAAAATATGGTCCAAGTGACTCAAAATTAACTCTATGACATATTCTATAGTCATAACTATTTTGAAAGTCTGAAGGCTTTTTTATGGTAAAAAAAAATACCAAGCTGAAACTTTTTATTCTGCTAATGTACAAAGAGAAGATCAAAGTCCACTTTTTATGGTTTCTAAACACAACTGATGGTTCCCTAAGACGCTGCTGACCTTCACAGAGCAGCGCCCCATCTTCTGTGACAGCCCAGCCTGCTCCTTCCGACCCACCAGTTACTGTCTTTTCAGAAGTCTTGTCGGATGTTTTCTTTGTTCGCCTCCCCAAGCTGCTGCTTCACTTGAAAGACTTCATTTTCTAATTGTACAATAGTCCTTTCAATCTCATAATTCTTACTGACCAGGGATACCCAACTAGAATAGAAGAATAAAGATTATTCATTGTAAAATTCCTCTTAGACTTTATCAGATGTACTTTTTAATGATTTCAGAGAGGAAGGAGAGGGAGAGAAATAGAAACATCAATGATGAGAGAGAATCATTGATCGACTGCCTCCTGCATGTCCCACACTGAGGACTGAGCATGTGTCTGAACCAGGAATTGAACCATGACTTCCTGGCTCATAGGTTGATGCTCAACCACTGAACAACTCTGGTTAAGATGCATTATTTCTTACAACTGCGTGTGAACTTTTAATTATTTCAAAAGAACTGAAGAGATAAGGAGTGAGAGAAGATAGGTCAAGGGCATATGCCTAAGTTGCTGGCCCAATCCCCAGTGGTGGGTGTGCAGGAGGCAGCTCATCAATGATTCTCTCTCATCATTGAAGTTTCTCTCTCTCTCTGCTTTCCTCCCTTTCTCTGAAGTAAAAAAAAAATAAACAAAAAAGAAAAAGAAAATACATAATCAAAGGATAAAAAGGCCTGAGACTTAAACAAATTATCAAGAAAGTACCACAACTCCCTTCTGAAAGCTAAAACAGATAATTTTCCCCTTTAAAAACAGGTAGAATGCATTCAGGGAAACGCTGCCCTGAAAACAGGGTCCTCTAACAACAGAATCAATCAGCAGCGGCAGGTCTTGGCTTCCCTCTTCCCCTGTCTTCTGAGCCCAGGCTTCAGAAAGAGGCAGAGTGAGGGGCAGGGTTCGAAAGCAGTACTGCTGACACCTGTGGCACCCATCCATCGGAATCCTGTTTGAATCACACTACTGAGCCTTGGTCTTAAGTTTGTTAAGCAATTTAACACGTGAAGGAATTGTAGGTACTCACTTTGACTCCATTTCTCTTAATTTAGATCCAGCTGTGAGTTGCATGTTCTTTCGCTGCCAGTTTAAATCTTGAATATGTTTCCTGTGAAAAAATTATGTATAAAACGTACCTTCATTTTAACATTTTCTATCGACTAAAATCAACTAAAAAAACTAGTCAATATATCTTTAATTCATTGAGAACAGATATTTGAAATCATACTTATTCCAGAAATTAACTTTCTTCTAATTATTTTTCAATTAAATTTCTTAAAACATGCCTAATTGTGAAAAAATTAAGCACACACACATATGTAGGCTAGAAACTGAAAGTTCTCCTCCCACATGCTTCTCCTCCTCCCTGAGACCTGCTGGTCAGTGTATGTGTTTTTTTGGGTTTTCTTTTACATAATGTTGCATGCTACTCTGCAACTTTCCCTCCTTCTAAAAGTTCCTTCTCAACGTCTGCACACTTATAGATGGCAAGTGACCTGGCAGAGATGTTTCCAGACGGCAGGTCTATTTCTCCTCCACCCAGGTGGGGCACACCCAACACTGGATGCCAGACAAAGAGCAGATCATCAGCTGCTTACTCTCATATGACTATAATCCAATGGTTCCTTTTTCTTCTCACTCTATGAATTAGGGATTTATCTAAACTTTATTCTGAAATAAAGAGGAAAAATTTTTACCTTAACTTCTGGAGCTCTTTCTGTGCATGTTCAATCATATGCACTAGATTTCTAAGGAAGAAAATGAGAAAAATCAGACTGAGGTACATCAAAACCTAATAGAACCAATTAAAAGTGATCTAGCAGATACAGGGTCATATTTTTCTGCTTAAAATAGTTAATATTGCCCGAGCTGGTTTGGCTCAGTGGATAGATTGTTGGTCTGCATACTGAAGGGTCTCTGGTTCGATTCTGATTATGTCCGGGTTGTGGGCACTTTGCTTCTCATGGTCTCTATTTAGTCAATTCTTATTTTTGCAGATTCTGTATTTATGAGTTTTCCTACCCAATCAGATTCATTTGTAACCTCAAAGGCAATACTTGCAATGTTCTAGATCAGTGGTTGGCAAATCACATGCGGCTCTCGAGCCACCGTTTGCCGATCTGTTGACTAATGAGTTTGCCAACCACTGCTCTATATCATTCGGCAGACATTCTCAGAGCAGAAAAATCTGACCAGTGGATGCACATGTTCCCATCTGAAGTGGAATAAGAAGAGGCTCTGACTGCTTGTGTCAGGTCTCATACAGGGATGACTGAAGGATGGAGTCTAATTTCCAAGTCTGGCAAGTTACTCAATACTCTGAACTTTGTTTTCTCTTTTAAAAAGTAAAGAAAATACAATCTCCCAGGATGAGCTAATTATATGTACATGTGTATATATTTTCCCCAGGAGAAATGTTACACTATTTGCTTATTCAGTATTCAAAACCACTTTTAGAGAGCATAACATGCAACCAACAAGAATCAACCGTATAAACAATTCCTGTTAAGATTACATTCTACTAAGTTGTGATTTGTAAATCAGACCTCAGAACTCATTTTATTACAGTATGAGACAATAAATGTGGTAGTTAGGTTTATGTACACAAACTGAGGTGGGTCTCAGATGGACATGAAAGTCACATCAGCTGCCTGTCTCCTGCATGCACCTGACCAGGCCCAGGGCTCAAGCTGCAAATGAGGCGCTTGCCTTTGATAGAATCGAATCTACAGCCCTTCAGCCCCAGGGTCATTGCTCTAACCACTGTACTAACTGGCCAGGGCTCAGCTCGACTTTTATCCCAGTTCTTCTACCCTACTTCCTACATTAACACACACACACCCCAAAGCTGTGGGTGGAAAGAATTTTTTAAAAAACAACATTTCTTACTCGTTATATACTTTCCAGGCATTGCATCCATGCTGTGACATTAGTTCTAGATTCTCAATTCGAACCGCTTGATGCTCCAACTGGGCCATAGAATTGTTTACACATTCCTGCCATGCAGTAATGTCATTTTTCTGACCCGAAGAAGGGGCTGGAAGTTCATATCTGAAATTAAACAACAATGCTTGTTTCTCTTCGCCACAGAATGCTTCCTGGGCCTGTGCACACTACAAAAACTACAGAAAGGTGAAGGTAAAGTACAGACCTTACACTAATAAAAACCTATTTACCCTAAGAAGCAATCAATTTACAGTTGGAGTTAGCAATATTATATGGTTACAAAAAATTGTTCCCATCAATGTGAACAGATTCACTAGCCTATGATACATTCATATAAAGGATTGCTATATTAGATACTAAATGATGTTACTGACGAACACTTAAAACATTAAGATGTTTGTAAGGTAGTAAGGGAAAAAAGGGCACACAAAAAAACGCTATCATTTTTGTAAGACACACCTACGATTCATCCACCTTCCACCCACATATCCACACCCCCACTAGAGAAAAAAACTGGACTTCACTCTCTCCTCTTCACACCGCCCAGTCTTTCAGCAATGCCAACTGAGCCAGCAAATGCTTTTCATAAATCTCAGCTTACTACAATGAGTTACTACACAGTTTTCATTTCCATTTTAATATTATTGCTAGATACTGTGTAAAAACTGCAATTATTCTTTTAAAAAATGAGGGAAATGCAACTGGGATCAAGAAGTAATACACTGTTTTGTTAAAAACAAAACAAAAATACCATAGGAAAAAGTAAACCACACTTTATAGAAGTAGCATTTTTCAAACCTCTGACTACAACCTAGAGTAAGAAATATTTTACACTGTGATCCACCACAAAGCAATGCTTACCGTTAGATGCAATGCATTCTGACATTTCTGTCCTACGTCCTTACAAAGCGCTGTGACGCCTTACTGAGTTTACCTTACAACCTACTGCTTCCGGGGTATTGCAAGTGGGTGGGAGCATCTTCCCACACAGCAGAGGCGGGCAGGGCGCACAGACCTGGATTGTGGGTCCATCCTTGGCTGGGGTGCGTATGGGAGGCAACTGATGGATGATGTTTCTTTCTCTCTCTCCCAAATCAAAAAAACCTATCCTCGGCTGAGGGTTAAAAAAGGATTATCTTTGAACATTAACACAAGATTGTATGAACTACTACTATATGGAAAAAAATACATAACAGACAAGGATTTTCCCCTTCCAATATTTGTTTTAACATGGCTATAGTTTTACAAAAAAATTAAGATGAAAGTAAAGAATGATCTGAGCCCAGCCGCCTCCAGAAACAGGACTTACCGTTTCATACTGAGCAATTCAATTGGTTGTCGAGCAGCCAGTCTTTCAAATTCATTTCTCATTATGTCTGTCTGTTGGGTAGAAATTAGAAAAAGAATTGTTCCCAAAACCATATCAACAACTTAAAATGAACCAGCAAATAATGAATCTAACCTACTCAAATATAGTCCTTTATATGATCCATGATAATGGATCATTACCTCTCTCACAAGCCTTAGCTGGGTTAATTGCTCTTTAGAATCTGAGGACAGGCACACACTTCCTACGTAAAGGACTGATATCCGAGGTCAGTGGTTCTCAATCCCAGCAGTAGACTAGAATCAGCTGGGCGCTTTGAAAACAATTCCAGTCTCAGCCACATCCCACTTTTCCCGCAGTCCACTTAATTGTCCTGAAGTGGAGACTGGACGTGATTATAATTTTTAATTCACCAGTCAGTTGTAAACTAAAGCCAGTGTCAAGAATCACGGATGTAAGTATTCGTTGGGGGTGGGGAACAGAGGCCTTGGACATAAAATGATTTGCTGTGAGGCTATGAACCTAAGCCTACAGTTTCTCTTTTGGTCCTGGCTGCTATTTTTACACTTTACTCTTTCCCAAGAATGAAGGGGGAAACGGGCAAAACAAAAACAAAAAAACCTGTTTTCTGCTATGGTCTAACAATTTTACTGTTTTCCAAAAAAATAGTGGTATAACTCTGTTTCTTTGGGTCCAATGTTTTGATCAATATCCTATTCCATTTGTTCTGCATAATTCCAGCCCTGAATATAAATAACTGTGTAAGTGAAATATTTAGTTAACCCATGTAATTTCATTTTTGAAGGTTGCAACTTTCTCAACAATTAGGCCCGAAGGGAGGGGGGGGGGGGAGCCTGCCGGCAGCCCACATTCGTGGTTTACAAGTTTTGCATTAAGCATTTCTTTTTTAAGCATATTTTATTGATTTCTTTACAGAGAAGGGAGAGGGAGAGTTAGAAACATCGATGAGAAACACAGATCAGCCGCCTCTTGCACACCCCCTCTTGGGGATGTGCCTGCAACCAAGGTACATGCCCTTGGCCGGAATCGAATCCTTGAGTCCCAGGCTGATGCTCTATCCAATGAGCCAAACTGGTTAGGGCTCCATTAAGCATTTCTTATTAGAGAAAAGCTTTTTCTTTTTTCTTTACTACTGCTGAGTTACACAAAGCTCTAAGAAAATACAGTAATCTAGTTTCCTGCAGAAACCCAGGGAATTCTAGCTAGAGGATATGCAGGGACAGACAAGGAAAACCACCAACAATTAGATAAGAGAGAAGCTATAAAAATGAAGCAAACAATCTGAGCCATCAATGTAGGAACTCTTACCTTTTCACCTGGCACTGCGTGAGAGATCTGGAATCTGAACTCAACTCGCTGCAAAGACTGAGCCAACTCTCACGGAGCTGCTTTATGAAAAAGCACTAGGCGTGCCTGGCACTAGTAAGCACTCACTGCATACAACTGCCTTAGAAGCTCTTTAAATATCTCGGTGCCTATTGTGTACCAGGCAGAGTTCTAAGTGATAAAGATCTGGTGGTGAAGAAGACATAACTACTTTAATCCTTTGGACGGCTTTATCAATAATCTAATATTTGCTGACTTAATGGTCTGTGCTCACACTCTGGAATGTAACCTCCATGTAACCTTAGCTATCCTGTGCCCCTTTACCTGGCACAGAAAAAACCTTCACCAATAGTTGTTAAATGCATTAAAGGGCAATTTCAAAGCCATTTTGCGGAGTGGTTAAGGTCTTGAGCAAATTAGTTAGCAACTCTAAGCTGCTGTTTTCTCATCTAAAAAAAATTTGTGATTGCCAGGACCGGTTTGGCTCAATGGATAGAGCGTCGGCTTGGGGACTGAAGGGTCCCAGGTTCGATTCCGGTCAAGGGCATGTACCTTGGTTGCGGGCATATCCCCAGTAGGGGGTGTGCAAGAGGCAGCTGATCGATGACTCTCTCTCATCGATGTTTCTAACTCTGTATCTCTCTCCCTTCCTCTCTGTAAAAAATCAAAAAAAAAAAAAAATTTGCGATAATAGACATAATTATACAGTTCACAGGGCTATTTAAGACGGAGAGTAAGCCCAGTACACTACCAGATCCCATTATTAAAAAGGATTAAATAATCAGGATGCTAATTATAAAGCTAGGAAGCATATGTTGTATTTTAGCGAGCTTAAAAAACTGATTAGAATATTTACATGTTTGTGATGGAATGCAATCTCCGAAACTTTCAAAAATCAATCTACTAAGAAAGCATTACTATACTTAATTCTTGATGTGGTAATATCTATATTTGGATAACAATATTTAGAAAAACCATGGAAAAATAATGTAAGTAGAGAAAATCTGTCTCCTACTTACTGGTAAAATAGCCAAGCCCTAACTGGTGTTGCTCAGTGGACAGAGCATCGGCCTGCAGACTAAAAGGTCCCAGGTTCGATGCCGGTCAAGGGCATGTACCTTATTTGCAGGCACATCCCCAGTAGGAGGTGTGCAGGAGGCAGCTGATTAATGTTTCTCTCTCATCGATGTTTCTAACTCTCTATCCCTCTCCCTTCTCTCTGTAAAAAAAAAAAATCAATAAAATATATTTTTTAAAAGATAGTTTTTTTCCCCAAGTTACTTCAATATAAATACTGCATTTTAATGATAGAATTCTTCCACAAATAAATGGTTACCTATAACGAGGGAAAACCCCAAACATGTATGTATTAAAATGTCTAACAGCATCCATTAATTAAAAGTAACATTTTACATTTAATTTTGCTCATTAGACCCTAAATATCTTGGGCGAACAAAATATGTAAACGTGTATCACGTAGATTTGGTTGGTCCCCTCGTTCACATCCCGCAACCACCTAGGCTTCCTACCAAGGCTACCTCCAGCCAGTGGTGCTCAGGAGCTTAGGTCATTAGGTTTGTCTGCGTTTCGAAACCCTCGCCCACTTCATTCAGAGCGGACCTCAGAGCACGGAGGACCCCGCTGAGAGTTAACACAGGGAATCTCAGAAACACGTACTCACTAGCTTTTGCACTTTCGAAACTTCTCCAAGTTTGCGGGTCCCAGAAGGAGAACCCCAGAGCAGGAGGCTTAGCTATCTAGCCGCTTTTAAAAATCCTCCCCGAGGCCAGTTCTCCATCGATCTTCCCGGAGGAGTGGAAGTGAGCGAAAGGCAGAAACAGCGACGTGCGAGGAACACGGCGGCGGGTTGTCTCCACGCCCCCCGACCAGGGCCAGGGCCTGGGCCTGCACCCGAGGTCCGTGCCCCTGACCAGGACCCAACCGGGCCCCTCGGTCCGCTCTGTCCCCTGAGCAACCCGGCCCGGGCCTCCCTGCCGCTTCCCATGGGGTAACACCTGCGCTAGTGAAGCCGGCCTGCTAATGCGGGAGTCAGGACGCACTCGAACGGAAAGGCTCTCCGCCCAAACTGCAGGCTCGCGGGAACCCGGCTCCCAGGCCGGGCGCAGACACCCACTCACCTCAAACGCGGAGTAATCCGGGGCCGTCAGGTAGCTCAGGTAGTTCTTGGTGGGCCGGTATCGGCGAGTCTCCTCCTCCACCAGCGCCGCAGCCTGCGAACGAGGACGGGCCGGTGCTGGGGCGGCCCCTCGCCCGCCGCTGCTCCCAGCCCCCGGCCCCCGCCAGCCCCTCACTCACCGCTTCCCGCACGCCGGGCGCCTCGTAGCCCTGGTCAAAGTACGGCAGCGCGTCCACCACGGCCTCCCCCGCCACCAGCCCGGTGCCCGCCATCCTCCACTTCGCCGGCGTCCGGAGTCTGCGCAGGCGCAGGCGCAGGCGCACTTCAATACGCCTGCGCCCGTCGCCCACGATTTACGTCACGCGCGCATGCTCAGTCGTTGATGCTGATGGCGCGCCCCGCCCCGTTGTTTTGGTTTGGCCGGATGTGACGTCACGCCACCGCCCATTCAGCGGGCCGCCTCAACTTCCTGTCCGGCGGCCTGCACCGCTTTTATGCTTCCGTCTGGCAGCGATCTGTGGAGGAGGGAGGTCTTTGCTTCTGTTGGGGGAATCCTTTGAAGCTTCTGTGGGCGCTGGCTGCAGGAGTTGGGGGAGAGAGAGAAACTGGTTTCCCACCTCGGCTTACTCCTCGGACCTCCCACCTCCCCTTAAACTACTCTCCCCTGGCACTTCCATGCTGTACCCACTCTTTATTCTCGGCGCCCTTAGATTCTGCGCTTTGGATAAATGCGTTTTTTCACAGATTCTAGCAGTGGACGCCAGTCCCCAGCTTTAGGGATCTGCCTACCAAAAGGAATCTGATCTACACCAGGGCAAGATTGGGAACTGCTCACCCATCCCAACTTTTAAGTCTCATCATTTTGCCTTCAGGGCATTTATAAAATCCAATCATTTTGTTGTTAGGACACCCAGAAATAGAATACGTGTGCAATCTAAATCCAAGCTTTTTGTCTGCCAAGTGCCTGAAAATGTTGTCCACGGTAATTAAGCCCGGTTAGTCAGATCGTCATTTATGCAGTGGATTTTAGTATATTGATTTTTATATCCTGCAACTTTATTCGTTTATTGTTTCTAATAGTTTTTTGGTTTTTTTTTTGGTGGAGTCTTTAGGGTTTTCTATATATAGAATCATATCTGAAAAAGTGACACCGGATTACCTTTTAACCTGTTAGATAAATGCACTAGCTATAGATTTAAGTGAAATAAGATCTTTACATTTTAAGCAATTTTACTTAAAATTCTCCGAGACCCATGGAATTTTTGTATTTATTCTTAGGAGAACTGTAAACAACATTTTATACACATCTTGAACAATTATTTTACAAACATGTCCAGCATTCATAAAACTTTACAAAAACACAATAAAACAGACGTAAGGAAAGGAAGCAGCTCCAGTTACAGGGATAAAATACCACCCGATCCCCAAAGCAAAGGTCTCCTCACAGAGGGATGGCCAGGATCCACCACAATAATACCCCCACCCCCATTTACAAACAGTTCCCAGTTACTGATTGTCAGACCAAATGGAGAGATAGCCGGTAAAAGCCCCACTGGGGTAAGCTGCTTAATAAACATATTTTAAAAGACATAGGCTCAGTTCTATTTGCTGGGCCCACATCTATAGAAATTATGTAGCACCGGTTACCTGGTGTCTGCTTCAGTTCATCTAGGCATACCTGAATGGATGAACTGACGGTACTGTACAAGTCAATAAACCTTGTAAGGATTTGTTAAGTTGAATAAATATTTTTATGCCAGTTAAAACCATCATCAGAAAGAAAACTGACATTTGTTGTAATATCTCACTGACAAGTTTCTCTTTCCAATCACTACTGCGGCTTTAGACCTTAAAGGTTGGGGTGATTATATGGTGTTGTCACAGGAAATGTTCATATTCCTGACTCCAATTTAATTAGAGCAAAAATTCCAAAAATCCTAGGAGAACGAATAGAGCCTCATCTAGACATCTGTAGTTTGAAGTTCCTTATCCTCAGAGCTGAGTTGGCTCTGGTACACTTCAGCTTAAAAGAAAACTTTTTCAATAGCTACAATCCCATAGAGCTCAAATTTCCATCTCAGGACTAACCAACTTTATCTGTTCACCAACTAACAGTTTTGGCTTTAGTTCCGGTTCTACTGTACAACTTGGGCAAGTTACTTAACTCCTTTGAATTCCAGTTTCTTCACTAGTAAAATGGAGATGCAAATACCTCCAAAGTTGATTTGAAGACTAAGATGACATACACACATGTACCACAGTGCATGGCATGGAGTAAACACTAAAAAAGTAAAATAAAGGTAGTTCTCATGTTCTTGGAAGGACATGTCCTATCAGTTATAATTCCAACAAGCTTCATGTTGACCATGAAGGACATGCTACTCCAGTGCCACACAGTGTGGGGAGGAGTCGCAAGATGTCTACTGTTACAAGGTACTCAATTACAGGATAACAATAGGGCTTCGAATAAGTGAGATTCCTCTTGACAGAACACTGGACAAAGAACAGCCATAGGCTTAAAGGTGCTGTGTGTTTCAGTGATGAGAGCTGTGTGTGGAGGGCTAGTGTTAGCCACTTCTGTCATGCCTTCCTAGTACTTTGAACTCAGCATTTCTCTCATTGTGCTCCTCTTTGAGCTGCTTTTTAAAAAATGCAACACCAAGTCTTTCCCTGATAAAAGACAAGTGCCTTTATAGCCTAAGCACAAAACACAAAGAATGAGTCCAAGAATCAAGTAGAAAAGGCCACTTAAAAACAATCAGAGGCAGAGTGAAGAGAGCATTGGTTCCACGTGACTCCCGACAAGTCTCTGATGATTACAAAGCAGCAGCAGGAGAGCCCTCCTCCAAGACTCTGGCCTGCTCTGTAACCTTCTCAGCTTTCAAGGATTTTGTAGGATACTTCAGGGCATCTTGACTCTTGGAAAAATATTTTCTTTGGCACTTTCTGTCCTATTTAAGATGAGACAGCAGTGGGAGATTTCATTTCTTCTGCAGAAATTTCATTTTACTTCCTACAGGGAGAAAAAAAGTAGAGTGAGCTCTCATTAGTTCATTTTTATTTATTGAACATTATCTGAGGCAAGGAATTAAAACCTAGGTATTCAGAATGTCCCCGGAGTAAGCTGCTATATCAAGCTAACAGTTGATGTGATTAACCACCTCCCCCGAGGGTCTAATTGTAGAGGTAGAAGAGAACTCAGACATCATCTAATCCAGTGGTTTCCAGCCCTGCCTGTAGGTTAAATTACTGGCCTGCTCCCCAGAGATTATGATATTGTAGTCAGAGCTGGGAACCACTGATCTAATCTAACCCCATGGTATAAAGATGAAACAACAGCACAAGGCATAATTTGTCCATGGTCTCTCAACTAGTTAAGGACAGGGCTTAATTTTAATCAGGGGCATATATTTCAAAAACCAATGTAAATACCATAGGCTGTAGGTTCTTCATTGTTTTGGGCTAGCACACCACTGTTCTATATCATACTGAAAACTTAAAATGTAACTATAATTGAACAATCATAAGCTACCATTTTTTAAAAAATATATATTTTTATTGATCTTAGAGGGGAAGGAAGAGGAGAGAGATAGAAACATCAATGATGAGAGAGAATCATTGATAGGCTGCCTCCTGCATGCCCTCCAATTGGGATTGAGCCCACAACCTGGGCATGTGCCCTGACTAGGAATTAAACCATGACCTCCAGGTTCATAGGTCGATGCTCAACCACTGAGCCATGCAGATCGGGCCCATGTTTCTTTATGAAGTGTAAAATCAGACTTGCAGGACAACCTCTGTGATTTCAGATGTCCTCTAAGCCTGGTGTTTTTATTTTTTTTATTTTTATTTTTTTAATATATTTTATTGATTTTTCACAGAGAGGAAGAGAGAGGGAAAGAGAGTTAGAAACATCGATGAGAGAGAGTCATCGACCAGCTGCCTCTTGCACACCCCCTACTGGGGATGTGCCTGCAACCAAGGTACATGCCCTTGCCTGGAATTGAACCCGGGACCTTTCAGTCCGCAGACCTACGCTCTACCACTGAGCCAAACCGGTGCCGGCAAGCCTGGTGTTTTTAAACTGGAGCCCATGGATGGACGTTAGGGGGGTTCATGAACACCCTAAAATGATATGCAAATGTTTGTATGTTCTAACTATATTTTTCTGGGGAAAAATCTAGTTTTTATAAGGTTCCCACAGGGATGTGACCTAGAAAAGAGTAATAATTGTGACATGCAAATTCTTACATCATAAGGGAGCATCATCTGAGAAAATGGCCCCATGGACAACTCTGACGGAGAATCCCAACCTCTAAGAAAGAGACTTCTTTTGCTCCAAAACACTTTGGAATTAGGGGTCATGGTTTCTGGTCAGCCTATTTGTGCTATATCGCTGATCTGATTGTGAAGCTTTTGCAATGAGGCATGCTTATTGCAAAAGCTTTTCTCAGCCTCGTTTTTCTAATAGGAAGATACAGCAACTCACCGAGACTCCGCAAAATTCTGTTCACCCCACTGGGTTCAGACTCAGGAATTGTTTCCAAATACTGGAAGGCCCGGACCTCAAACAAACCTACAAGGAAAACTCATGGTGAAATTGTCCAACGCTCAAGACTGAAAATCAGTTAATAAAACTCTGTGTTCAATACTATGTATCTTCATAGTTAAAAAAATATTACAGAAAACATTTCCCATAATAAACAACTCAGATTTTGAGCCCTTGTAACTATGCTATCTTTTGTTTATATTATTTTCAAACCTTCCATGCGCTCACTAAATAGGGAGGGGGAACTTCATGAGGAAACCGACCTTTCACCCCACTTTTCCGAAGCTCTCGATCCTGGATGAATCCTGCGAACATCTGAGTTTCCATGAAGTGATCTAGGAAGTGGCGAACGCTGCGGGAGGTGTGAGATTTACGGAAGGGCTCCCGTTGGAATACACGCTCCCCACGCTCAGTGACAGTCATGTTCAGAGAGTAATGGCCCACCAGCTCCACGAAAAACCTGACAAATGCTTCGGACACCAGAGAGTTGAGTGTCACCTCTGATGCAAAATGAAAGAGAAAAAGAAAAGTTCTTTAAATTTTGTATTTATGGGAACGCTGGGTCTAATCACAAAACTGACGCCTAGGAAATCATGGGTTATAAGAGAATGAACACAGGAACACTCCTGCTCGTGCCCCAATCAGGACCTGGCCGGAGAGGAGCCTGCAACCAAGATCTGTGCCCTGAACCGGAATCAAACCCAGGACCCATCGTCCACAGGCTGATGCTCTATCCACTGAGCCAAACTGGCTAGGGCTGTTTTGTATTTTTAGATTCCACATATAAATGAGATCATACAGTATTTGTCTTTCTCTGTCGGACCTACTTCACGTAGCATAATGCTGTCTATCCATGTTGTCGCAAATGGCAATGGTATTATTGCTGAGTAATACTCCATTATGTATATATATTCACATCTTTTTTTTCCCCTTCATCTACTGATGGACTTCTAGGTTGCTTCCATATCTTGCCTGTTTGTAGTCATGCTACAGTGATCATAGGAATGCACATACTTTTTTAAATTAAGTGCTTTTGTTTTCTTCAGATAAATACCCAGAGGTGGAATTGCTAGGTTGTATGGCCATTCTAATTTTAATTTTCTGAGGCACCTCCATACTGTTTTTCCATAGCAGCTGCACTAATTTACCACCCCCTGACAGGACAGCCAGGAACAGCCTCACTGCCAAGGTGACACTTGGGCATGGAGGCAAGAGCAGGAGCCAGGGGGGTGTCTGGGGAAGAGCTTTCCATAAATGGGGGCGAGCAAGTGCAAAGGCCCTGAAGTAGAGGGGGGGCTGGCACAGGGGGGTCCGCAGGGAAGCTCATCATAAGCGTTCCAGGGCCCAGGCACAATCCTATCTTCCACCTTGCGTGTCCGGGAGCGGGTCTGGCACTCAGGAAATGTTTACTGCCTTGATCGCGAGTCCTCAGGCCACCTGTCACGTACCTTGTGAGAAATTCTGCTCCTGAGCCAAAATTTCATTTCGTTCTTCCAAAATCTGCATTAGGGCAGCTTGGAGTTTAGGTGGTAAAATTTCATCCTCGTCAGATACCTTAAGAGAAGAAATTGAAAATGTTCATAAACTTGGAGAGAGGGTGTACTAGTTAGGGCCCCCAAACCCCACAGCGACTGTATATTTGGCTGAGGAGTCCGTGTGAAGCTTCCTTCCCTCACTGAGCAGACTCCAAGATGCTGATGGTGTCTACATCTTCACTATATTAAACAAATAATACACATCAAATTTTCTGGCACTTTCTATCAAATATCTTTCATCTACAAGTCTTATGCTACTTGAGAAAGATCATTCCCAAATGCCGAAACCGGTTTGGCTCAGTGGATAGAGCGTCAGTCTGCGGACTGAATGGTCCCAGGTTCGATTCTGGTCAAGGGCATGTACATTGGTTGCGGGCACATCTCCGGTGGGGGGTGTGCGGGAGGCAGCTGGTCCTTGTATCTCTCTCAACGATGTTTCTAGCTATCTATCCCTCTCCCTTCCTCTCTGTGAAAAATCAATAAAATATATTAAAAAAAAAAAGATCATCCCCAAACAAATGGTGTTTCAAATATGATGAGCTAAGGAATTTTGAAAAAAGTCTAGGGAAACATTCTTTCAACCCTGCTCACAAGCCTACATACAGTTTATATAAACTGAGGGCTGCTCTAAGCAGGCATTACCAACTCTCTCTTCCACTTTCATACCCAGAAGAAATGACCACATCTTTTTTGCCCCTACTGTACACACCTTGTACAAATTTCTATTATACCACTTCTAAAACTTTATGTCTGTACCCCTCCCTACCATCAGACTATAAGGCCTAAGGGCTCAAACTGTGTCTTACACATATTAGATGCGGAATATTTGGAAATAATCAGTTTTAAATGCTTGTTACGTTTAATTAAATTAGAGGTTTATATGTCAACCCGCCTGGACTTGAAGAAGGGAGGGTTGCCTCTTTCGAGAATGACCTGTAATCTGTTTCTTCCTTCCTTCTTTAGGAAACACAGCTAATCCCACGCCACACTGTTCAGGTCAGTCGTGTATGATCAGCCATAGTACCAGGTCAAGTACCTGACTCATCTTCTCTAAGTACTTTCACCTATCTCCTGTCTAATTATCCCCAATCATTATGTAATCACCTCCTTTGTCACTCACCTCCTGTAAGAACTTGTCAGCACAGAGATCAACTATCAGCACCTATGGAATAAAGGAGCCAGGCAAGTTAAACCAGAGACATTCACAAAGAAATATGTAGGCACTGCTTGGTCAGAAAGTTGCTAAGAAAATATATCTTAAAGGTGTCCATCACAAGAAAATAAATGTCTAACTATGGGAAGTGATGAATGTTACATTTTTTGTGGTAATCATTTCACAATATATATAGATATGTTAAATTGTTAGGTTGTACTAATTATACTAATACAATGTCATAGGTCAGTTATATATCAACGAGAGGCCCGGTGCACAGGATTCGTGCACTGGTGGGGGTGTGGCCTGTGGCGATCAGCCTGCTGTGGGAGCACCTCTCATCCTGGTCAGCCAGTAGCTGCAGACCCACCCTCTGAGTAGCCTCTCCCACTGCAGTAACAGCTGCTCATCCAGGTCAGCTGAGCAGCACTCCCACTGTGTGAACGCATTGACAACCAGGGGACAGCTCCTGCGTTGAGCGTCTGCCTCCTGGTGGTCAGTGAGCATCATAGCAACTGGTCAACCAGTTGTTCTGGTCGTCCCACCGTTGGGTCTCCGGGCTTTTATTATATGGGATAAAACTGGGGGGTTGGGGAGTTTAAACCCTAATAGGGAAGACCAGTCCTTTCAGTAAATGGTTATTACGACAGTTGGCTATTCATATGACAAAAAAGTAAAACAACATCTACCTCTTAGCATATTAAAAAAAACACCAAATTCCAGGACTCAGAACCAAAAATTAAAGATATGCCCGGCTGGTGTGGTTCAATGGTTGAATGTTGACCTATGAACCAGGAGGTCATGATTTGATTCTCAGTCAGGGCACAGGCCTGGGTTGTGGGTTCGATTCCCAGTGTGGGGCGTGCAGGAGGCAGCCAGTCAATGATTCTCTCTCATCATCAATGTTTCTCTCTCTCTCTCCGTTCTTCTCTGAAATCAATAAACATATATATATATATATATATATATATATATATATATATATATATATATATTTTTTTTTTTTTTTTTTTAATCAAAGGCACAAAAATAAAGCTTCCACAGCTTCCAGGATATAAGTAGAAGAATATCTACATAAAGTTAATATAAAGAAAAACTTAAGTAGCTCACACATAAAAAACAAAAAACAAAAAAAAAAACTCCAACCATCAAGGAAAAGATTGATAATTCTGACCACATTAAAATTAAGAACTTCTGTGCATTAAAAAATGCCGTTTTGGAGAATGAAAAGGCAATCCATAAAGGGCAGGTATCTAAAATATAAAAAGGCCTCTTACAAATCAGTAAGGATGAACAATCCAGCAGAAAGATAGGCAATGAATTTTATATAAAATGATGTTCAAAAGGCCAATAAACATATAGAAAGATGCTCAACCTCAATAGTAATCAAGGAATGCAAATTAAACCACAGTGAGAATACCACTACACACGCACCAGAGAGGCTGAATTACACAAACTGCTGATGACAAGAGTTGTTGGTGAGGATGTGGAGCAATAGGAGCCCTTATACCCTGCTGGAGGGAGTTTAGCTTGCCACAACTATTTTGGAAAGCAGTATGGACTTTATTTACTAAAGTTAAAGATATGATTACCCTATAACCCAGCAACTCCACTTTCAAGTATATACCCATAGAACTGCATGCACATATATAAACCCAGGGTCAAATACAAAAATATTTACAGCCGTATTATTCATAACAACCCCAAACTGGAAACAACTCAAATATCCAACAATGGTAGGATGGATAAGAAAACTGTGGCACATTCACACAATGGAATACACACATAATAAGAATGACCAAATCACTGTTAAATTCATCAACATGGATGAATCTTACAGACATAATGCTATCCAAAGAAGCCATTCAAAAAATATATATGCTGTATGAGGCCATTTATATCAGACTTAAAACCAGGCAAAACTGAACTCTATTACTTAGGGTTGCATGCCTAGATGTAAAACTATGCAGTAAAACAAGTACATAAACACCACAAAAGTAAGACAGTGGTTACCTTCTGTGGGGGGTGGGGAAGGGAACAGTGACTAGGAGGAGGCCTGAGGGGACTTCTGGGAAGAGGGAGGGAGGCTGGCGGTGTTTCCAGCGGCACTGTTCCCACTCTATTTAGTGTTGGTTACATAGGCAACATTGTGATAATTCACTGAGCTGCACGTTTTGTTCTGGACACTCATCTACATGTGGGTTACATTTGAAATAATTTTTGAGTTAACTCAGAGTAGTTTTTATGTTTGACTTAAAAATAAAAAAACCTGCGATAGCCAGTTTGGCTCAGTGGACAGTGTCAGCCTGCGGGCTGAAGGGTCCTGGGTTACATTCCAGTCAAGGGCACATCCAAGTTGTGGGCTCAATCCCCAGTGTGGGGTGTGCAGGAGGCAGCCAGTCAATGATTCTCTCTCACTATTGATGTTTCTATCTCTCTCTCCCTCTCCCTTCTTCTCTGAAATAAATAATAATTAAAAAAAAAATCTAACCTTCAAAATAACACGAGTCCATAGTTCACTATTGTAAATAAGATATATGTGTACCATAGATTCAGGCATACTGTAGAATTTTTCTTATTGTAGTAAAAAGATAAAAAATATGACAGCATAATGCAGTAAGAATAATTATATGCTAGTATTAATTGACAACCCCATCACTCTTAAAGATCACTTGTTTTCCCTGTCAGCGCGCCAGTCTTTCCACGGGCACTGCTCCCCTCTCACCTCTTCAATGGGCAGGTCCTGGAGCTGCGGTAAGGAGCAAGACAGGATGCCGATGAGGAACGGAGTAGGCGAGCACACGATGTCGATCATGGACGCTGGCAGGACGGGGATGTAGGTGTGCTGCCAGGTGAATGGATACAGTGTGGCAACCACAGCATGGCCACATTTTGACAGGGTGCTGGCCAGAGGAGAAAGCAAATGGTGTCACACACAGAACATGCCATGGAGGGCACTGCAGATGTTATGTCAGAATTACCAACCGATGCCAGTTAGTGAGCATAGGTGAACAATTCTGTGATTCCTCATTAATGTTTAACATATTCTTTAAAATTTTAATTTTCTGAAAGTCTGGAACTTCCATTTTATATCGATAAAAATTGGTATGTACATAGAAAAGCAATACCAATTTTTAACAGCTTAAGCAAAAACACATTTAGAAAGGTAAACGAATTGCAATACCCCAAAGTCACTGGTATAGGTTAGTGCAAATGACTTTGGATTATTTACCATTTAGAATTACCCATGTCACTACGGCATTAGGTAACTGATTGAGATCCTACAGTTTTATTAATATGCCCAAATTTTAAAAAGGTCAAAATCCATAAAACACCAGTAGGAAGTAACATAATTTACTTATTTCTCACCTTAGGCTGTTGGCCACAAAGATTACCCTTCGCTCCAAAAGGAGAGACGCACAGACCCGAATAAGATGACACACACTCAGGCACTTAAAGAGACATTCAAAGTCCACATGTTCCAGCCGGGAATCCAGTGGCCGGCAGAGTTCAACCGACTGCAATGCAAGAATCTGAATCAGGGGAGCTGGTGCAATGCTAATGACAGGCTTAATGGATCCTGTAATTCTTTTAAAGGTAAAATTCAAGAAAAGGGTCTGCTACAGTTGTAAAGCTGCCTAGTCTAATCCCAAGATTTAACACCTTTGTAATTTTGTGAATTTCTGGTAAAATCCTTTATCTCACTGCCAATCCTATCTAATAAAGATGGAATATACAAATTGACCGTAACTCTGTGACAAAGATGACGGCGCCCACAGCCAATAAGGAGGGAAATGCAAATTGACACGACAAGGTGAGAGGCAGAAGGCAGCTCTGGGCCGGAGCGATGGCAGAAAGGTAGCTCCAGGCTGGAGCAAAGGCGAAGCTGGCAGTCAAGGAAGGAGGGCCCACTCTTGCACGAATCTTTGTGCATCAAACCTCTAGTAGTAGTATAATCTCCACTTATCACAATTTACTGTAATGACTGAAACTGTCATTGCGAAGTGGCTCAACTGGATATTTCTCTGGTGCTTTGTGAGACTAACTGTTCCATACTGTTCACCTTCTGTACCGAGAAGGGAAAACTATCCCCGGAGGCTTCTGGAAACTGCCTCCTAATGCCAGGCCTGCTTGTTGGCAGCTCTCAAACCTTTTCAGAATGAGCACACTCACCCCGTCTCCAGCCCCAGGGAGGTAGCTCTTCACGGTGATGGTGTGGCCAGGGGCTGGGAAAGGAGCTTCCATGACACTCCGCAGGAAGGGGTGAACCAGAGCTGTAGACATCTCTCTTCTCTTCTCTACTTCGTCCAAAATCTACACACACACACACACACACACACACACACACACACACACACACGTTCTTTTATTAGGAACTCCGTCAAAAGACATAATGAATCCCATTAACCAACTGACAAACTCAGCTCCCAAATTTAAAAATAATACCAACAAATTAAAAAAAAATAAGCTTCAGCATTATCTACCTTAATTAAAGGCATTATATCTCTTGGAGGTATCTTTGTATCCCCAAGAAAAGTTATTAAAATAAATCAACTTATTTTTAGATGATGAGTCCCTTTTTATTATATTTCCTGCAGTTAGGGGAGGGGATGGGGAATGAGACAAGTTAGCTTCAGGCTACGTTCTCCTATAAGCTGGGAGGTTTAGCAAACCAATATAAGGGGCAGGGCCAGAGCATCTGGATTAGAGATTTAAGCCTTCAAACCTGTGGCTCAGTTAAGACAAAGGAGAACGTCTCACTAAAAACAAAAAACAAAAACAGGAACTACTAATGGGAACTCCACGTCATCAGAAACCAAACTTACTCAGAGCTCGGTGAGAACGCCACTGTCCGTAGCATTCTCCACTCACCTTTGAGAAAAGGTTGAAGCAGCCTAGGCGACTGACCATGCAGTAAACCTCAGGCAGTCGCTTTCCTTTGCCTTCTGGCTAAAAGAAACACACAACAAAGCAAAAATTAAGCAGCATAAGTTTTTACTAATTTGGACTATCAACACTCTCTTAATACTCTTTAATACAGAGTAGAAATCAAGGTTCTGATTCTCAGTGAGCACTGAAAGATGGGAAAATGCTAAAAAATGATAGCATAATTATTCCAGGTTTAGTGGGGACATTCAAGCAAGGAGAAAGTAACTCAGAGCCCTGGATTGGCTCAAATATACCCAGACTGATGCAGCCACTGTGTCAGTGGTTTCTTTCTTTATTACAAACATACAAATAAAATAAATCCACACCCTTTTATTCTAAAGTACTTTGTGGCTAACCTCAATCTTGTTCTTACTGTTGAAAGCTAACATAGCTTCTTTAACACACATATCATTTTAAAAAATATATGCTTTTATTAACTTCAGAGAGGAACAGCGAGGGAGAGAGAGAGAAACATCAATGATGAGAATCATTGATTGGCTGCCTCCTGCACGCCCCCAACTGGGGATCAAGCCTGCAACCCTTTGACTAGAATGGAACCAGGGACCCTTCAATCCGCAGATCAATGCTCTATCCACTGAGCCAAACAAGCTAGCAACACATAGATCATTGAGTAACCTTCAAACTCATCGGGAGATAGTGTTTCTGAAATTCCTACTGTGACTCTATTGCTCCTTGACCAACCCTGCCTGTAGCACGAGTCTGCAACTTACCAAAAGCTTCTTACAGTAACCAAACCACCGGCTCCCATCTTCACCAGTTAAGACAAAGGAGAACGTCTCACTAAAAACAAAAAACAAAAACAGGAACTAGTTTGAGATCCAAACAATTGTTTGACATTCCTCATAGAACAAACAATTGACAATTAGTCTAACAGCAGCAACTGTAAGAGGAGGGATTAATATTATTTTACTGCAAGTCACACTGCTCCTGAGGGAGAAAGCCCAGGCCTTAGCAATGTCCTCTCTTGCACTGGAGTGAGAGAATAGGTAGAGGATGAATTGTTGTTGTTTTACTTTCTATTTATCCAGTCTAGTTATTCATCAAGCCTGTTTTCCTTTTGTTGAATGTCCAATTTAGTTAAGCATATCAAAAAGCTGTGATTGTGATAAACTATTTTTCCCTTCAAAAATTCTTCTATTTAGTTATGAGAGGCCATATAGTGATAGGCAAAGGATAGTATCCTTACTAAGTAAAAATTAAGGATACTGTCCATAGGAAAATCACCAATTCCTCATTAGAAACATAGAGGAAAATATATGCAGAGACAATTTATGAAAAGAAGACTTACAGATGCTAAGAAGTGAGTTCATTTATGAAAAAGTCCAAATTTGAACAGCAAGTACACGTGTCCATATAAGGCCAAAATAGAAGATTGCAAGGGAATATGCCAAAATAGTTACAGTGATTATCTCTGAGTAAGCAGAATGCCAGTAACTTCTAATTTCTGCTTTTTATTTACTTCTCTGTATTTTCGAATATCCTATATAATAAAAGTGTAGCATGCAAATTGTCCCCTCAACCAGGAGTTCACCTGGGAGTTTGACCAGGGGGCGGGACCAGCCAGGGGAGGGAGGGAGCCCCTGGCAGCAGCCGCTAGCAACCCCACCAGTGCACGAATTTCTAGTTCTAGAATACACACAATAACTTGTCTGGGCGGGGTGTGATGGGGCGGGGAGCCGACCATGGAGCAGCAGGGCAGAAGGAAGAAGGGGTCTGTGTGCTGGAAGTGTAACTGCCAGCACAAAAGCCTCAGGATTGATGGTGCAGCGATGAGAGCGGCGATCAGGCTAGACTGGTTATGGGAGACAGCGGCTTAGTCTGGAGGCATTCGGAGGTGGAAGGGCAGGGCTCCTTAGCCAACAGCTGAGGCTGTCTCCCAGCAGGTCGGCGCCATGTGACATGGTTCACATCACCACCCTTCCAGTCCAACGGCACCATCCAGAATTACAGTTTTGAACAAAGCAGTTACCGATTTACAAGCAGCATGCAGCATAATTCCCCTCTCAACATTCTGCATGTCCCACCCGGGAGCCTCTCACAGGGCTCGTACAATCTGGACTGTGGCTTCTTCTATCAACTCGGAGGAGAAACCGATGCATTGCTCTGTCTGACCTGCTTCTGAGTCCCTAAGTCCCTTTTCCTTTTCTATCCACTGGGTGGCATGTCTGGCTGCATGCACAGTGGAACTTTTGCCTCTGCAGGACTGGCGAAGTGGAGACGCTCCCACTTGTTTTCTCTTGGACACTGACATTATTCCGTGTGTTTTTTTCCTGAGTCCCAAGAGGAAATGTTCTAATTCTGTTTCTTCCTTTCCTCCCCCGCCTCTCACCCCCTCCCTCCTGGACCTGCCACAGTCCACACCGCTTCACTGCTGGCTCCCCCGCTTCCCAAGCCTCTGTCTGATTCTTTGTTTCTAGTTCCAACAAACAGAAACCAGATAAAGTAGCTACTTACCTCTTGAGTTCTGAGGTCGGAGCCCAGTCCTTCGAATCAGGAAAACAAAATTTGGGGATAACTTTGAGCCTCTCTTCAGTGTCTTTGGATTGCTTAAAGCCATGATCACCCTGAAAAAATAACACTGCAGGTGACTAATATTCTATGCAAGTGGAGAACAGGAATAAAATCCTCAGCCTGGTCTTGGGAAAAGAGGGCTCTGATGAGTCTTAGTCATCTCAGCATAGTTTTGTGCTGTTTAACAAAACAGAAAGCCAAGACTGGTAACCACTGAAGATGCATTGAGAACAAAGTTACTGAGAATAAAAAATCCTATTTTTACACAGTAATGGTATTGTGGAGATCCTATAATCTGATGTAAGAGCGATAACCGAACATGGAACATCAAATAAATGAAAATCTATTCTATAATATAAATTTTTTCTAGTTCTAGAATAAACACACAGATAGCAGAAACCTAGTCAGCTCTAGACATCTCTGATCAATAACTAAAGATGTTTTGAAAAAGCAGATGAATGCTTTTCAGAAAAAAAAATGTTTAGAATCCACTCCATATATAATCATTTCCCTTAGCATGTAATCTTTGCTACCTAATTACTGGTTTGCAACTTCCTGTAAAATTTCAGCATGGAAGACCCTTTTGTGCAGGTCTGGTATTATACCTAAAGGACAGTCTAAGTTTAGTTAAACCAAAAGACATTGAAAATTTAGTACAAAAACAAGCAGATAATAAGTCTAATTACCATACTGCCTTCATGTAACTAATATAAACGCTCTATCCTTTCATTTCTAAAGCAAAACATGCAGCCATTCTGGGTCACTTGGATATTAAGCTTTTAAGAAATGGAAAAGCATATTATTAAATGAGTCACAATCATCTTCATTCAAGGTTTCCTGCAATAGACCGAGAGGGGCTCGGTCAGCTCTTTGCGTCCCTAACGTAAGGTGCCTAGTGCACAAAGATGCTAAACAAATCGCTCAGAGACGCTTCTGAGTCACTGGCAGAGTCAATGGATCCTTATCTGGTTGTGAGCCCATTAATTCGGGCTGCGTTGAAAACAGGTTCAACATCAAGATTTCTCTCTGCAAATATAAGATATCAAAAATGAAGGGGGGGGCCCGAAGCCGGTTTGGCTCAGTGGTGGAGCATCGGTCTGCGGACTGAGGGGTCCCGGGTTCGATTCCGGTCAAGGGCATGTACATTGGTTGCGGGCACATCCCCAGTGGGGGCGGTGCAGGAGGCAGCCGGTCGATGTTTCTCTCTCATCGACGTTTCTGGCTCTCTATCTCTCTCCCTTCTTCTCTGTAAAAAATCAATAAAATATGTTTAAAAAAAAAAAAAATGAAGGGGGGGGGTAGAAGTTCCTCTTTATGGAAAATTTGATTCCTCAAGACCATCTAGATGACATTATTTTAGACTCTAATGGTCTCACATTACTAAGCAGGGCCATGATCCCATGCCCTCACACTACACTGAGGAATTTTATTAAAAAATTAAACTTAATTGACTTCTTTATAGTAGGGAGGTTGAGAATTTTTAAAAAAATGAGAATCCATACAGGAAACGTCTCTTAGGTTCCAGTACAGTCATGCTTCACTAGCTTTTTAGTGAAACATGCAACTCAAGGTTAGAAACCAAAAGTCCTAACAGGGCTGAGCAGATGACTTAAAGGACAGAAGCGCTCCAAGGAGGAAGCTGGAGAGTGAGCAAACGCCCCTCCTTACAGGGATCACTCTCACCAGGGCCAGCTACAGAATCTGCAGAGCACAGAGCAAGGTGAGCTGTGGGCCCTTGTTTAAAAACAGTAAACATGAAACATAAAATAAAATGAAAAACATCTGCTTCTGTGGTCTTTATCCTGTGAGGGGGTTTTTATTTGCCATTTCATGTCATGTGCCCTCAGGCACAAGGATCCTGGGGTCAAGTGCAGACCCTCACAGCCCTCACTGAGGTCCTGGCCTGCAATCTGGTGACAAGTGACCCAGCAGCTGTGGGTTTCCAGATGCAGAGCGGAAGCTGTGCCCTGACCAGAGGTGAGGAAGCTAAGCCAGGCATCTCCCCTCTCTCAGGCCACTGTTCCAACCCTCAGCAGCTAGGCACCCCCCTCGGGGTTGTAGCCTCCACAGGGGCATGTGCTTGGGTTGAGGGTGTGCAAGTTCTTGCCCCACCAAGGCAGCCGCTGAACGTGAGTGGCACTGCCAGCCAGGCAGGCAAGATCTCGCCATGCGTTGCCTAGAGATGCTGTGGGGAATGCTTGCCTTGCCTTGACCCTCTCCATGCCTGTTCCCAAGCCCCTGCCAGGGACAAAGGGGGCAGTAGTTACTGAGTAGGGGCAGAAGGGGGAAAGTCAGACAGGGCCCAGGAAACCAGGGGCAGGGGAGAGGACAAGTAGAGAACCATCCTGAGGAGGTGAAAGAGGTGCGACCAGGCATGAACCAAGCGCTTAAGACCTAGCCTCTTGCCTCCTTGTCCCATCGGATCTCACTTCCAAAACACAAATTCAAAGACAACGTTATTAAGAATTGCAATGGGGACTGCAGGGCAATCAATCCCCAGCACAGGGCCCCTCTGAGGGAGGGGCTCATGTGACTGTGCTGGTCACGTGCCCATGAAGTCGGCCATGGCTTACTCAGTTTCAGCCAATTCCTGCCGTTCAGGAATGTAGGCTGAGTGCGGGTAGGCTTTCCAGTTTCTCAGGAAAAAGCAGAAGCACAGGTTTTTATGTGAAATTTGATTTTTAAACATTGGCAACAAGTAATTTATTGTTATTATTTTTACAAAACACCACAAATAGGGGGTGGGGGAGTCTGTAGTCTCAATTTTGCTCAGAGGCCATGGTTTGCAAGCCCTGATGCAATGTCATGTTCCTCTCTTTGTTTTTGCTGCCATGAAGCTCAGGGCCACATCTGGGGGTCTGTGTTCTAAGCCCTGTGTTCACGGGCAGGGACCAAGATCTTTTTCATTTGTATTCCTAGCACCTAATATTGGCAAACAGTAGATATTTAGGAAATATTTGATGAAATGAATGAATGAATCATGTTTTGAAAAAGGCAGAGCAAACTAAATAATATTGTTAATAATAGCTACCAGTAAAAAAAATAATAGCTACCATTTAGCAAGTGCTTACCATGTGCCAGGGATGGCACTTCACATACATTATGTCATTAAATCCCCATCAATAATGGCTAACACTATATGGTGCTTACTATGGGCTAGACACTGTTCAAAGGGCCTTATACAGCTATTGAGTCCTCATCACAGCTTAGCAGAATGGACACTATTATGATTCCCTCCATTTTATAAATGAAGAAACCGAGGCACAGAGCAGTTATGTAATTGCTCCAAGTCACAGAGCTAATAAGTGGCAAATGCAGATAGCTGGTTTAGAATTCATGCTCTAAACTGCTACCCTGTTCTGCCACATTTATTATTCCCCTCAATAAGGATGAGAAAACTGAGGCTTTGTAACTTGTTAGAGGTCACTTAGTAAATAGCAGAGTGAAAAATAAAGCACAAACTTGGATAATGAGCTTTTTCCCCCCTTAGGTGGAAGCTCATGCTTGACATAAGACATCATCAGAGCTTGGCCTGCATGGTTCAGTGGCTGAGTGTCAACCTATGAACCAGAAGGTCACGGTTCAATTTCTGGTCAGGTCACATGCCTGGTTGTGGGCTCAATCCTCCGTGTGGGGCATGCAGGAGGCAGCTGATCAATGATTCTCTCTCTTCACTGATGTTTCTCTCTCTCTCCCTCTCCCTTTCTCTCCGGTATCAATAAAAAACATATAAAAAGATGTCATCAGTCATCTACCAGACCCTATAGGAAGTACAGCACACTACTAAAAGCTGACAGAGACAACAAAAAACAAGAGGAAATACACACAAAGTCACAGGAACAGTCCTGAATGGCCCTGCCTGCTTGCACCTACCTTGCCAGGGAACTGCTGAATGACCTGGGGGACGTAGCTTATGTCTGATGGCTTCTTCTGTAGAGACACTACCACAAAGAGCTCAAACAGCTGCTGCTCCTGCAGCTCAATGAGGTCGCGCTCTAAGGTCTGGTAGTGGGGGTTCCTCTTGGCAGAATGCTGCAGCTGCGCTAAGCGCTTGTGGCGATCTGCAACGACAGCACGGAGCCGTGTTTTCCATGGAAGCCGGCTTCCCTCAAGCACCCGGAGGTCGCAACCCACTCAGGACTAATCTTCCCTCAGCTCCTGCTGAAGGAATGTTGACTCACCAACATCTGCCACACAGACATACCTGTTAGAGCTGTGACAGGCTTGAGGGTCAAGTGCAGATTCTCACTAGCACTTGGGGCCCTGTGTTGGGACCGATGCTCCATGTCCCAAACAATACTCTTATGTCCCAACACATACACTATGTTATTCCATCTTTCATGGCCTACCACCAAGGACATACGGAACATGTCAGGCAAAAGTACTGGCCTGACAAAAGATGTCACTATTGGGACCAAAAAATCATGGGGAATAGAGAGGAAGAATTGAGTCCTACAGAGGGCAAATACATAAAATTTAAAAAATATATATTTTATTGATTTTTTACAAAGAGGAAGGGAGAGCGATAGAGAGTTAGAAAGGTCAATGAGAGAGAAATATCGACCAGCCGCCTCCTGCACACCCCCTGCCAGGGATGTGCCCGCAACCAATGTACATGCCCTTGACCGAAATCGAAGCCGGGACCTTACAGTCCGCAGACCGACGCTCTACAGCTGAGCCAAACCGGTTTTGGCCAAATACATAAAGTTTGATAAAATTAAAACAAAAACTATTCTCACGTGAAAGAAACTGTCCTTTTTCCTTCTCTCCTTGGCACATAGCTCTAATAATGGACATGCACTTTTATCAATAAATGACGCGCAGTTGGCTTGGCTCAGTTGAGTCGACCTATGAACCAGGAGGTTGAGGTTTGATTCCTGGTCAGGGCACAGGCCAGGGTTGCAGGCTCGATGCCTAGGGTGGAGCGTGCAGGAGGCAGCCGATCAATGACTCTCTCTCATCATTGATGTTTCTATCTCTCTCTCCCTCTCCCTTCCTCTCTGAAATAAATAAATAAATAAATAAATAAATAAATAAATAAATATCAATAAATGATGCTAAATGCAAAAGAAAATAATTGAAGTAGAAGACATCCATTCACAGACTATTTCTCAAAAGAATAAAAACATAGTACTTAAATAGTGCAAGCAATAGCACTCCACACTGGCTTGCATTTATCCTTTATGTTCCTTTATCTATAATTCTGAACAACCTGAGACAGTGTCCCCCAGGGGAAAGATAGTACCTGCAGAAGAAATAATCCAGGTTGCTCAGAGACTTGCCTATGTGTCATTCTGCGCCAACAGTGGGAAGACTCATCTTCTGACTAATCATTTTGATTTTTAAAAAAATACATGATGTGCTGAAACCGGTTTGGCTCAATGGATAGAGCATCAGCTTGGGGACTGAAGGGTCCCGGTTTCGATTCCGGTCAAGGGCATGTACCTTGGTTGCAGGCACATCCCCAGTGGGGGGTGTGCAGGAGGCAGCTGATCGATGACTCTCTCTCATCGATGTTTCTAACTCTCTATCTCTCTCCCTTCCTCTCTGTGAAAAATCAATAAAATATATTAAATATATATATATCTATATGATGCATTATGCCCCCAAAAGAATTACATTATGGATCAAAAATACATCTAGGAGTGGCTTCCCAGAATTATCTAGTACATTTAGTGCTCTAGGAAAAAAATTTTACTTATTCCAAAGGGTTCAGTTCAAGTCAAGAAAATTTTAGGTCCTGTTTCTCAGTATCAAAAGCACTGAATTAGACATCTGTGCACATCCAGGCTGAACCTGATGCTGACTTAAGTTTCACCTTCAGGCTGCAAAATCAAACACCTGAACTAATTCAGGCCAGTGGAGGGAGCACCTGATTGTTAATGATAAGATCAGGGTATCAGACTTGGAACTGCCCTGCATGCAGCTTTGAATATTCATGTTTCCTACTTTCTCCATGCCTCGTTTGCCAGTCAAACAGGAACTGACAAAGTTCCTGTGAGAATCCATTAAAGGAAGGGTATCAAGCACCATGAGGTGAAAGAATAAATATAACAAAAACTGCATGGCATATTCTATAGTCTCACAAAAAATAAATGGCACAATAATTCTATCTAATAAAATAGTAATATGCAAATTGACTATCACTTCAATACACAAGATGGCTGCCCCCCATGTGATCAAAGATGGCTGCCACCATGTGGATACAAGATGGACACCAAAAGATGGCCATCAGGGGAAGGCAATTAGGAAGGACAAGGCCTGCAAGGGAGGGCAGTTGTGGGCAATCAGGCCAGCAGAGGAGGGCAGTTGGGAGGGACCAGGACTGCAAGGGAGGGGAGTTGGGAGTGATCAAGCCTGCAGGGGAAGGCAGTTAGAGGAAAACAGGCTGGCAGGGGAGCAGTTAGGCATCAATCAGGGGCTGGCAGGAGAGTGTTATGGGGTGATCAGGCTGCCAGGCAAAAGCGGTTAGGGGCAATCAGGAAGGCAGGCAGGCGAGCAGTTGGGAGCCAGCAGTCCTAGATTGTGAGAGGGATGTCCGACTGCCCATTTAGTCCTACCGGGATAAGGCCTAAACAGGCAGTCGGACATCCCTTGGGGGGTCCCAAATTGGAAAGGGTGCAGGCTGGGCTGAGGGGACCCCCCCCCACCATGCACGAATTCCATGCACTGGGCCTCTAGTTTGGAATATAAATGCCTATGAAGAAGAAAGAGATCCAAGTTTTCTGTCCCAGTGTCAGAGATACCAACGTCACTAACTCACGCTTGAGTGACGGGGAAAATCTGATACTGAATGACAAGTATTTGTCTCAGGGGATGAGTCACACATACCCTATGTTGGCTGCTGGGAAATGTCTACACATTTGTCTGGACACGCAGCTCTGCCACTCCCCTAAGAACATTCCATCTTAGCACCATGAGGGTTTGCCTCGTTTCACTCTGGGAGATGTTTAATGCTGTCAGACATCTGACAGTGTGCTGCTTAGTTTGCCAAATCTCAACAAGCTCTTATACTGAAGAAATTCCCTACAATATGACACTTCTTGTGGGAAAACATGCTTAATCACACCGGCAGGTGCCACCCCGCCTATGCCGTGATCATCAGGAGAAAGGGAGCTGCCCATTGACTCACTCACTCTTTGGCAGATACTCCGCATCACTTTCGTTCCCACTGGTTTCACCTGAAAAGAGAGAAGTAGTTTCTATCTGTATTTGTCCAACGGTAGGAAGTCCACGAGGATGGAAACAATGTGAAACCTCCACAGACCTGGGGGCTTTGGAGTCAGGAAAGCTGAGCCTGGCTCCAACCACTGAGTTACATCAGGGCAGGACAGTCACAAGAAAATAAAAGGCCCAGAGGAGAAACAACTCTATCCTTCTTCTTCCCACACCCTCCCTTCCTGATTCTAGAAATTACCAGTAGTTCAGACTAGTTTTAAGAAGTCTAGTTTGGAGTCTATTTCTACATCCATATCCTCATCTTTAAATTCTCGAATAAAGTATCCAAGGCTGAACACCAACCCGCCTAAACAAAAATCTCAACACAGAACAAACTATGAATTTAAAATCATGGAAAATGTTGGGGCAAGGGGGATTACCAAATAAATTTATGAAGTTATCTCTTTTTTTTTCGATATCTCTAAGCTAACTCTAGGCCAAACTGAACTTTTCTATTCGAAATTCTGCTTTAAATTGCTCTTATTTTTTCCAAACAAATTTTAAGTTTCTTGAGAATGAGGGCTATACTTTTACAGGAGAGTGTTTTACAAGTGAACAAAAAATTTCTAGATTAAGTCTGAAAAGTTAGGGCAAAAATAAAATGTGAAGAGCTGAAACTGGTTTGGCTCAATGGATAGAGTGTCGGCTTGGGGACTGAAAGGTCCCGGGTTCAATTCCGGTCAAGGGCATGTACCTTGGTTGCAGGCATATCCCCAGTGGGGGGTGTGCAAGAGGCAGCTGATCAATGACTCTCTCTCATCGATGTTTCTAACTCTCTATCTCTCTCCCATTCTCTCTGTACAAAATCAATAAAATATATTTTTTTAAAAAGATAGCCGAAACCGGTTTGGCTCAGTGGATAGAGTGTCGGCCTGCGGTCTGAAAGGTCCTGGGTTCGATTCCGGTCAAGGGCATGTACCTTGGTTGCGGGCACATCCCCAATAGGAGGTGTGCAAGAAGCAGCTGATTGATGATTCTCTTTCATTGATGTTTCTAACTCTCTATCCCTCTCTCTTCCTCTCTGTAAAAAATCAATAAAATATATTTTAAAAAATATGCAACAGTTTCATAAAAAAAGGTAGCATAAAAAATATAAATAAATAAATAAATAAATAAATAAATAAAATGTGAAGAAAGGGGAAAATTTTAAATGTACCAGGAAAAACAAGACCCAGGGACATAAGAGAAGTTACAGAAAGATTAGCTACTTAAATATTGGGTACCACATGTGTTTGTAACTTCACATTAACCACCATGACAAAAAGTATACTGGAGCTCTGAACACTGTTCGGTATGAATGAACAACCTGTCTGCTCCTGGGTCCTTAGTCGCAGGCCCTCTCTGGGAGCCTAGGAAGTTCAAGGAAAGAAAGAAAAGCAAGGGAAAAGGGAGGAGAGGTACTATAACTGGAAAAGACCTGATAATACAATCACATCTATGGTTTGGTGACTTGCACTCTGGGACACTAAATGAAGGTTAAGGGTAAGGGGTTTATAGAATCTACACAGAATCTATAGGGATCAAAAAAGTACTAGGTTGTTCCTTTAAACGTGTGACTTCAATATGCAAAATTGTAATGGCAGAATTGAAGAATGGCACTAAGTTATTCTGTAATTCTGATAACTGAAACTTAAGAAATGTTTAGGTTGGAATAGATTCAATACAGCTCAGCATGTACTGACTCAGAAGGTAAATACGATTATCTGTCCTCCTAGCCATCGTTGATAAGCAGACAGAAGCGTAAGAAGGGAAACAAAAATCAGAGAACAGTGACCATGGAGCCAGGAGATCCTCAGGCCTGAGGGAAACCCTCCAGCCCGCTAGAGAAGTTGGCCAGAGACTGGCTAAATGCATATTGTCTTTGAGCCAAACAAACGAAAAACAGTCCTAAAGGGAAGGGTTACAACTTAAGGACTGCGTGTGTGTGTGTGTGTGTGTGTGTGTGTGTGTGTGTGTGTGTGTGCGCGCTAGAAGTTGGCAATCCAGGCTGTTGAATTTTTTCCCTTTTTAATAATGATGCAGTGAAAAAAGAATTTCTCTCTTCAAAAACTTGTTTTACAGTTGAATTTACTAAAATGTTCCTAATCCATAAGGCATAAAGCATTTGAATAAGAGGTCGGTAATAACCTCCTGAGGGGCCATATCTGGAGAATATAGTTATCAATAGACCGCTGTTAATCTGGGAAAATATAATGTTCTTTTAGAATCAGTCCTGGTCCCAGGGTCCTGATAGTGTACATAATTTGCAACTTACAATTTATGTCCTTGTCTTCAACAGTGAGATTACTATGTGCCACAGAGGGCTCTTTAGAAAACTAATGATAATGTGTTTGAAAGGATCTAGCATGATATCTAGCATCAGTTTTCATCTTCTGTGTGTAGTTCTGGGTTACACAAGTTAAAAGCCTTTGGCCATATCCTTAGTGAAGATAAGGAAACATGGAGAGGAGACAGTGAAACTGCTAAAAATCAAAGTTTATGAGAAAAATTGAGAGTAACTGTTGGTGATGGAAAGGGGTTAAGACCTTGTGGTTCCATGCTCCTTAATTTAAAGTGACATTTGCTCCTCTGGCTCAAGATAGTACCTACCTCCTAATGCGGTCATATGTTATACACATACGTAAAGAAAATATACACACATGAAGTAGAGTATGTAAATCCAGTGATGTTAGCTATTATTAACAATAATCAGAAGTATTTCTTCTGCAGAAGACTGAAACATCTTTTACTAATTGCTTTTGAGAATATAAAAACTGACATTTAAAATGGTGGCCCTTTGATTTTAATCATCGCAGAGTAAGAAGAAAGTCTTGAATTGTAACATGAAGAATTTCACTTTCAGATATAATTGTTACACTGTAGAATAGATTTAAGGGAAATTTAAAAATTTTTGTCTTTGGAAGTCTGCAAAAATATGAAACATACTTTTCTGGTATGACGTGGCTGTTGTTTTTGACTTAGGAATCTCACATACAAAAACTGCAAAGTCTTGCCTATTTTTTGCAGACAGCCAAGTTAAAGAATCTTGCATAAGTTTTGTTTTTTTAATATATTTTATTGATATTTTGCAGAGAGGAAGGGAGAGAGATAGAGAGCTAGAAACGTCAATGAGAGAGAAACATTGACCAGCTGCCTCCTGCACACCCCCCACCGGGGATGTGCCTGCAACCAATGTACATGCCCTCAACCGGAATCGAACCTGGGACCCTTCAGTCCACAGACCGACGCTCTACCACTGAGCCAAACCGGTTTCGGCAGAATCTTGCATAAGTTTTAAAGAAAATTCTAATAATTCACTCTGGATGTTGAAACCTTCTTAATTAGGACAACATAAGTTTTATCTAAGCATTTGAAGGATAAAACTATGGAACTTACAAGATGACTGACTACAAGATGAATAGCACATACTTTCAGTCAATATATACCTAATAATATTTTAATTTCTCCACTGAGTCTCTACTGATAAATGACTATAAATGAAAGTAGAACTACAATAAAATGATGCAATTTACCTATGAAAATTAATCTTGTTGGTTTTTATGTATATATTTTTCATTTGTTTAATTATCTATTTATTTACTTATTACTTGACAAAGAACTAAAGAGGAGCTTGAGGAAGAATAAGAAATAGTCCCTTAGCCTAAATAAGTTTTATATTTAAGTGGGATAGATAGGAAAGTAAACCAGAAACCATAATCCACATTGACCATTAAGTTTTACGGTTCTCTCCTCACATGCTGATAGCGATGGACAGCTAGAACAATTCTCACCTTTCGAAGGAGGCATGTCTTTTCCAGTGTACGGATGTAACTTTACTCTCTTTTTCCCTCTCTTTGATTCAAATATGTCATCTATTTTCAATACAAGCTGAAAAAGACCAGAAAAGTACAAGTTAAAACTGACACCAACAAGTTAGCAGCCTACTTTCATGAGATGCTCATTGAGAAAAAGGTCCATTTTATAAATCAAACTTACATTTCTCAATTTTGAATCTAAAATTATCTTTTAAAAGATATATATTTTTTATTGATTTCAGAGAGGAAAGGAGAGGGGGAGAGAGAGATAGAAACATGATGAAAGAGTCATTGATTGACCGTCTCCTGCATGCCCCACACTGGGGATCAAGCCCTCAACCCAGGCATGTGCCCTTGACCAGAATCCAACCCAGGACCCTTCAGTCTGCAGGCCAATGCTCTATCCACTGAGCCAAACCGGCCAGGGCTAAAATGATCTTTACTAAGATGATGCGTTGCTCTAAACAAAGTCCACGTTATGTGGGTAAAAGAAGGGGGATCCTTTCCAGAAGAACCCAGCACAGGCTTTGGAGAGATTCCTCATCGTTCCATGTCACGACATGCAGGAAATCTAGGTACTGCACGTAATAGGGTGACCAAGCATTTACTATCAGACTCAAGTTTTTGCCTGCCCAGGATAGGAAGTGGAATACTTATTCACTTGGAAGGTAGGGTGGGGCTCAGTTATTTTTGCTCCCAGGAATTTTTAGCAAAGAGAGGATAAATCATACATAGGAAGTTTTTGTCAAAGGGAATACTCTATCTCTTTGCTAGTAGGAGCACTAATATTACAGTTTATCTTAGAAACATCATAAAATTAAGAAACCCTCAAATATGCTCGAGTATAATAACTATGCTTTATTTAATAAACATTATTCATTAGAATGATTTCTTTGCTGCTGGAAGGAGTGTGTGAAAGATAGAAAGAGACAGACATGCACACAGACTGGGCTTTAAAAATAAAGGGGGGGAAGGAGCCTGGCCAGTGTGGCTCAGTTATTGAGTGTCAACCTATGAACTGGGAGGTCACAGTTTGATTCCCTGTCAGGGTACATGCCTGGGTTGTGGGCTTGCTCCCCAGTAGAGGGCATGCAGGAGGCAGACAATCAATGATATTTTCTCATCATTGATGTTTCTACCTCTCTCTTCCTCTCCCTTCCTCTCTAAAATCAATAAAGATATATTTTTTTAAAAAAGGAAAAAATTAAAGATGATCAATTGCCACTTTAAAAAAGGAAGAACTGGTTAGTTTTTTTCATGTATCTTTTTCTTAAAATTCCAAGCTTTTTCTTAACTATCAGTCCTGATTTAATATATTTAATGCTCAGAACTTCAATTGTTATGAACATTATAAAAAATGATAACCAACGAAGTTGGAGAAAAACAGCCTTGTTTTCTCTTTTGTCCTTGCTTCTTCAGTGATGTTGGCAATCCGTAGGCAGTGAATGAGTCCAGAGCAAAAAATAACATGTGAGAAACATGTGCTTCCAATATGCAGATTATCCCCACATTTTTGGATGAGTTTGTTCTTTCAACGATTTCTTGTAACTGCCAAGCAAGTAAAAAATTACCAATGTCCTTAAATATTAGCATTATAAAAAATAAATAAAAGGATCCAATGTAAAAAGGTACAGTTAGGGCTATAGAAAGATATATGAGAGCAAACATATTTTTAGTTGCAAGTGAACAAAATTAGTATAAATTTTTAAAAATTGAACTTATTGGGGTGACACAGGTCAACATGAGCATAACTAATATAAATATTACTGTGCATTTGAAAAGTTTACTCCAAAGTATACACAACTATTCTAAAGGAAACGGAGCAATCTGCCCTAGAAAGATGAGGTAAAGTACTAAGTTAAAATGTGGTTATGAGCTGGGAAGAAGAGCCTGCTTTTATCTCCTAATTGTAGGAAATACTGTGGGGCAGTCTTCCTAAGAATGATGGGAAACACATTGTTGTACACGTGTGACACAAACATCAGGGAATCTACTCCAGCAAACACAGGCCTCCACAGCAGGGTAAGAAAGGAAGGGTGGGGAAGAGGCATATGGACTAGATCAGTGATTTGCAAACTAGGAAACCAGTTTCTCTTCCAGGGATAGCTCTAGTCATCAAAGGGGAAATAAATAAAAAAGGCTTTCGTGGGGAAGAGTTTTCCTAAGATACTCCAAAACCAATATTTGTATTGCAAATTGAACATCCTAAAAGCATATAATTCAAGGAGGATCACAGGTAGAAATGCTAACAGTCTGTTCCTGCCTGATAATCAAGAGTTCCTCCCCCTCCCACCTATAATTCTAAAAAAACAAAAACTCTCCAAAACGCTTGGGAAATATTAGGGAAGGAAAAGTTTGATCCTAGAACACACTTCAAGCAGTCATGAGATCCACGGTACGGAAAGTAGAGGCACAAAGCCTAAAGCACTCAAATCTCCTTGGGTCTCATTAGACTCCACAGTCCATGATTCCTAAGTATTTGCTCATGCCATTCCAAAAACCACATCTTAAATGAAGTCTCTATTGTGTTTGTGTTCTGGCCTCTGGGGACACACAATGAGCTATTTCTGGGCCATGTGGGAAGCAGCTTCGTGTGCCAGCGTGATCTCTTGAAGGGGAGAGTTACCATTGGTAGGAACATTATAGGCTGCTGAAGGCCTGGTAGTACCTCAAACCTCTGCTTTTTAACCCTTCCTCATCTTCCTCAGAAATAAACAGCTAAAGATATATATATTTTTTTCCCACAGAGAAATATTAGTTTAGAGCATTTTAGGAACTGTGTCTTTAACTTTTCACTTATTAAAGAGGAAGGGGCAGGAAATAGATCAGAAGAATTAAAGTAATTATGGAACAGAGCATTTCCCAAGGAACCAATCAGTTACTAAACCAAGAAACAGCTGTGACTTCTGTTTAATGTTAAAATCAGGTACAAAAACTGTGCTAAACGAGTGGGATTAAGGAAAGGAGTACTATTTCAATGATTGGATTTTTTCATTTCTTAACAGTAATCCTGAAGACATTCTGAATTACAGAAGAACAAAGTATCATAAAGAGTTTGAAAATATTTTCATGTAATTTCTTAAGTATCCCTCCTAAAATATATGTCTACAAATAATCCCAATTTCTTCATTTTGGTTCCAATGGCTCTGGTTGAGATAACTACAGACTTATTGACTTTTCTCCTTGAGAAAGAAGTAATTTATTTAAGATAATTGCTGAAAATTTCTATTACCAAGTAATAGACAAGTTTCTTTTTTCTCCCTCTGAATGGAAATATCTGTCCCAAATTTAATGGCATGTGCTTTGCAATTACTGAAAATCTAAACTTGCACACAAAACTGAATTCGCTTTGGCAATAATGTGAGCGAGAAGACCGAAGGCAGCTTAATAAAATGTTCTTATATCCGATATTCTAGTGCTTCCCTCCCCCAGGCAGTTGACTGCAAAATGAAGCTCTTTAAGTAAAGTCAATTTTCCAAAACCATCAAGAAACCTTGGCAAAAGCCCTGCATTTTTCTGCAGGAGCAAAAACCTAAAGTGAAGGCTGCTTTCCAAGTCTCCTAATTCCAGCAGGTCAGTTCTAACATTATTTATAGCCCTCTAAAGTTTAATTATTCTCATTTTATGACAACAAATGCTGAAATAAGAGTCAGAGAAAGAAAATCCTTACCCTTGGAACATTTTTTCTTTTCCTGTTTGCAACTTCTCCAGCTCGGAAGAGCTTCCATTCAGTTAAAGTGACGGGCAGAGTGGTGTCCTTGGTGAGCTTTGACCTTACATAAGCTTGCGAGTTCTTCAGTTCCATGGTCTTCCGCTGAAGGAAGTGAGGTTTGGGAGGAAGCTAAACCGGGAGAAGGAGTGGCGTGGTAAGGGTAAGATCACCTAGTGAATGCCCGTGTTCTAAAATTCAAAGCTACCCCAGAAAAATATCGGTCTTTTCTTTAAAATCATCTTACATGAGGATACTGTAATTTCTCTTTTATCAAGCTTCTAACCCAAAGTTCTTCTACTACAATGTAATCAAATTTCCAGAAAACCATGGCTCAGAGTCCTCACTGACTCAAGGCAGCCTTTGCTTCCAGGAGTGGTGAAGGTTTTCAGGGACCGGACTTCCTGTGACTAGTAAGGAGCTATGGTAACTAACTATAGTGAACTGCCAAGTTCATGGCCTGTTCAAAGGTGTTTACATTCATTTTTTTTGAAGTGCTGAACAACAAACAAACAACCCCTCCAACCAAAGAAAATAAAAAGCCACCATTACAAAACAACCGCATATTTTAATGCCTCTTAGTTTTGTCCTTAGTTAAACCATTTCAACCTTTTTGTAGGGATCAAGATGCAATGTTTTATGTAATTCCCTGGTTGTACCTTGGGTGTTTTGAAGGCACTTCCATGGGGTGGAAGCTTCCATGCTGAAGGGGATCTCCACATGGGAAAAGATTGCAATGGAATATCTTCATATGGATTTTCTTTGGTGGGATCTTGAAAAATAACAACAACAAAATAAGTTTAGAGGAATATAACTAAATGAAAACAAAGTGACTATAGTTAGGAAAATAAATGTTTTTAAAAAAAAAAGTATGTTCAGTTTTCTATTCCCCGTTGCTGGAGGGAGGGAGATCTCAAAATTAATGGCACATTAAGCTTATAAACTACTCAGGTGTCCAAACAAGCTAAAAATATTCACAAAATACGATACTATAAACATCTACTTCTGAACTGAGCAGTCCAGTATACTAGTTGTACACTCCATTAAAGAATCAAAGAATTTATGCAACAAAGGTTTCCATATTAGAAAGAAAAATCTAGAGCAATGCCAAAACCGGTTTGGCTCAGTGGATGGAGCGTCGGCCTGCGACTGAAAGGTCCTGCGTTTGATTTCGGTCAAGAGCATGTACCTTGGTTTCGGGCACATCCCCAGTAAGGGTGTGCAGGAGGCACCTGATCGATGATTCTCTCTCATCGATGTTTCTAACTCTCTATCTCTCTCTCTTCCTCTCTGTAAAATATCAATTTTATATATATATATATATATATATATATATATATATATATATATATATATATATATATATAAAATCTAGAGCAAGATATGCTTGATTTAAAAAGAAAACAACATCCTTAGAGTTCAGGGCTCCATGAAATACATACTCATTCAATTGAACTGCAAAGTTTGTGGACACCTACATATGATATCCTCGTAGATATTGTCCTCAGACTGTGTGTAATAAAGTGCTGAGCCAGAATTCCTTCCAAGTTCTTCATGCATCTTCTGTGTGTTCCGATTTCGGAAGTGCTGAATGTCTTCAAATTCAAAGGATTTCCTTAAGAAAGGAGAAATATGTTCAAGTTGTATCTTTTAAAATTGTTATGACAGACTAAAATTCGTAAGGACTTATGTGCAAAATGATAGTGTTTTATCAGATATCTCAGAGTAAACTAGGCTAACGCCCTATCTGCACAATGAGACAATTGGAGGCTTTTAGCCGATTTCTATTCATGTTCTTCATTGGGTACCTTTCTTAAATCCATCTCTGATAAAAAGGGAGACGAGGGCCAGCACGCTCTAAATGCAGCAGAAGCATGTACCTGCTTCCCTGCTCCTGCTTCACGATAGGAAATGTCAGAAGACTGTGTTAGCTATGAGGCATGCTTCTACTATTTCCTCATGTACGTATTTTCCTCTTGGGATAATCAACATCTGTATAATCCCATTAGAGGAATGGAAACTGTTTGAAAAGAAAAAGGGAACTCCAGTGTCCAGTAAGGAAAATACAAGTCATTACCTATCGAATGAAAACATACCTTTTAGATCTCCCTCTGATTTTCCCTCCGTATTTCTTTGGTTCAGGTTCCTGAGAAGAGGCCAAACAAGACTCTGCACAAGAATTATTTTCACAGTGTTTTCTGTCACAGTTTCTTTCTTTACATGGCACAACACCAGATTCAGACAAATATCTGAATGTCCTACGAGGTTTTGGCAAAGGATTTATAGAAGGTCCACATTCTTGTCCTTCCGGTTCGGAATAGATATTTTCCAAGCTCTTGGTTACTCCATAGGAACCCTCCAGATCTCTGAAGTCCAGTTCCTTTTCTGAAGAGACACGATGTTCTAGAGCCAAACTGAGGACTTTATCCGGGGGAAGAGCCTTGAGTTTCTTCCACAGGATCTGGGAGGTATAGAAATTCCCTGGAGGTAACGAAGTCTCTGGATCCAAAGCAACTTCTTTCCAGCTTTCAATCTGTTTGACCCTTGAACATACCCAGTTGGATTCTGATTCACTTTTAAAGAAGTGAGTATCGTTACATTCATGTTTCTCACTTTCATCTGCACTTTGGTCCCGGCTTTTGGCATCTTCATTAATATCTAGACCAACATGTTGAGAGTTGGTTACACCCAACCTTTTGCTCTTTCCCTCAGCAACACAATTCTTCTTAAGAAGAATCTCCTGGTGACAGTTATTATATCTCATTCCAAGGTCCTTTCGGTGCCACTTATCTGGATTAGATAAACCATTAGTCCGTCCTTCCCACTGAGAAATTTTTTGTTTGATGTTTTTGCAGTGGCTTCTTGACAGTGTCTGAACAGCAGAACGAGAAAAACCAACATCCATGTTCCCAGTTGGGTGCATACCAAAGTGATGAATTTTACTGAGGTTCCATTACATGTAACTGGGAAATTCTGTGTTCTTTATCCAGTCAGTTAGAATCCAAATAATTCCAGTATTTTTTTTCATCTTTAACTTGGAAATTTCTTTATAAAAATGTTTTAATCATTGAACCTTGTTGAAGATGGCTATAACTTTATTTTGAATAATCCTGTTAAAATAAGAAAAGAATATGTTAAGTTTTATAATTTTTTAAAAATATATTTTTATTCAATTCAGAGTGGAAGGGAGAGGGAGAGAGACAGAAGCATCAGTGATGAGAGAGAATCAAGGATCGACTGCCTCCCGCATGCCCCCCAACTGGAGATCAAGCCTGCAACCTGGGAACCTGCCCTGACCGGGAATCAACTGTGACCTCCTGGCTCATAGGTCTATACTCAACCACTGAGCCACACCAGCTGGGCTATAATATTTTAAACATCACTAAACATTGCCCACCTGTCTCTAAGTATTTGGAGTTTACAAAAACATACCTGTTGTTCATTAAGTAATTCAACTCCATAAAGGCATACCTAAAATATTAGTTGTAGTATTTCTCAAATTGTCAGTTTTAATGTTCTGCCATATTTAATTTCCTAAAGTTTGGCAGAAAGAGTTTTTTTTTTAAGAGATTATATATATTAGTGCAATATTATTTTGTAATAATTCAGCTCTTTACAAAACATTCTCTTAACCTACAGAGTATTATAAAAAGCATACATACACAGAAAAAGGTTTATGTATATATCCAAAGGAAGAACCAGCTATTCGAGAAAAACACCAATAGCTAATTTCTTCCTCTTAATCCATTTTGAGAAATAATATTAGCCCATCACATACCCCTATTTCAACACTGTTATTAACAGCAGAGGTTCCAATACACACAGTGCTAAAGATAATCCAAGGTACCATTAACTAATTCTTGCTTTAAAATGTAATAACCTATTATGTCACTGACAGAAATTTCCACATCTCTGTCACCACACCCTTGACCCAGATCAGCAAAAATACTTACAGTTATTATCACATTCCTTCCTTTCACAGAGGCTTCACTCATAGAAGCCCATGAACTGTTTCCTCAAATACAAAATTTGGCAGAGGATTTTTCCTATCAACTGAGTAAAGACCTGATCTCAAGTTCTACTGCATGTGGATTATAAATAGAAACTGATTCAAAACTTCCTGAGGCAGGGTCATCCTTCCTCCAGCTTTGTCTGTGTGGCCTTGATTAACAGGCAGGAAAATATCTTGGCCCAGCTGTCAGCGTAGCTGTCCCAAACTGAGACACACACAATGCACACTCAAAATGTATTCTAGGCAGAGCAGGACGTGCATCAGCTTTCATTTCAACTGTTCCTGTGCGTTTGTAGGAAAACCAGCTTTGTCAGCAAATAAATTTTGACAAGGACCTGATGCAAAGAAAATCATTCTAAAAAACCCTCTTGTAAAAAATGCAAGACAGGAACACAGCAGACATTATTGTCCCAAAGCCTCATCCCTAGTACCTTCACACTGGGGATTAGGGCTTAAGCATATGATTTGGGAGGAATACAAAAATTCAGTGTAAAACACCGTTTGGTTAGTTATGAGAATAACTCAGAGTCACAAAGCTCTGGCAAATAGAGCTTTTAGAGTAGCCGTCGGAATCATGAATAGCAACAAAGAATTATAACTATTTGGAATTTTTAAAAATAATGTGGATAACCAACATAATTTGATCACAAAGTTAGCATTATTCAGAGTCTTTGGCTTATGCCTCACAATTCTGAATATAGTCTGCATTAAATCAACTATTATTATTATTATTTTTTTAATAAAAATATTTTATTGATTTTGTACAGAGAGGAAGGGAGAGAGATAGAGAGTTAGAAACATCGATGAGAGAGAGTCATCGATCAGCTGCCTCTTGCACATCCCCCACTGGGAATATGCCTGCAACCAAGGTACATGCCCTTGACCGGAATCGAACCTGGGACCCTTCAGTCCCCAAGCCGACGCTCTATCCATTGAGCCAAACCGGTTTCGGCTCAACTATTATTTTTCATTAAAAACAATTTCCATGACAGATATCAACAGAGTTGTAGAATTGTTTAAAAATTCATTTTTTTTGGAAGAATAGTAGTTCTTGCTTTGCAATTAGGCACAATAACTGCTTGAGAAGTTTATATTGTCCATTATTGGTAATATTGTGGGTTGTTTTTTTTTTTTTTAGTTGTTTTTTTTTTCTATTTGGGGATTCACTTTTAGTTACCTGTAAGGCTGTTTCCTGATAGGACTGAGATAAAAGACTGATATCCTGTATGTGCCTGCTTTGAAGATTTGTTATTCAAGAAACAGACAAGATAATAGAAGTTTAAAAGATAGACACCAATTTGACATTTGCTTTTTTTTTCTCTTTTGCTTTGTTCCTTTATCATTTGCTTTAAAATAATTTTAGTTAAATTCAATGAGGAATTTCATTCAAGACTTAGTCCTGTGAGTTTAAAAAGTGTATCCAGAGGCTTTACAAATGACATACTATAGAAATATTTTAATTAAATATACTTAATAAAAAAGCAAATAATGTGAGCCGTTCAAATTTCTATCCATCTTCCTGAGCAGATTTTATTATTTTCGATTCTTCTCTGACACGTCTTAGCATCCTCTTCTGTAAAAGGTGCATTTTAAGACCTGGTTTATTTTAGGTCTTTCAAGACAACATCACAGACGCATGTACTTCTCTGGGCTATCAATGCTACTTCTCTTTTCATTTCCATCCCTGAGGTCTGCTTTTCCTAAGCATACTTAGCTAGAATGACTCCAGAATATTAAGATTCTGCAGGACATGGAAAAAGTATACGGAAATAGTTAAGGAGAATTCAAAATTGGAAGACACTTACAGGCTTATTAGCAGGTGTAGTGGGAGCACACAGGAGTGAACTCTGGGTAAAGAGCTAAGGAAGGTTTCACAGAAAACTTTAAACTGGCCTTGGAAGTACACTGTGTGTTCCTGAAGTAATTAATAGTAGTTATCATTTATTTATTTATTATTTAATTTTTTTTAAAGAATACTGTTTTTTATTTTTAATATATTTTATTGATTTTTTTATAGAGAGGGAAAGGGATAGAGAGTTAGAAACATCGATGAGAGAGAATCATCGATCAGCTGCCTCTTGCACATCCCCTACTGGGGATGTGCTCGCAACCAAGGTACATGCCCTTGACCGGAATCAAACCTGGGACCTTTCAGTCCGCAGTCCGACGCTCTATCCATTGAGCCAAACCGGTTTTGGCAGTAGTTATCATTTATTGATCAAGTTTTATATGCCTAGAACTGTCTGAAACACTTTATTTACATAATTTCATATTTAACCCTCAAAACCTCATAGAATAAATAAATACCTCTCTCTCTGTGGCAGTGCGTGCTAAGAGACGTATCAGCTACTTAACCTCTTTGTGCCTTGTTTTTTCCTCTGCAAAATGAGAATAACAATAGTATTCACGTCACGGGCTGTTACAGGTATTAGATGGGTTAATATTGGTAAAGGGAGCAGAACTACACCTTAGGCTCATAGTGATTGCTCAGTAAGCATTATCACATCCAGAGAATCTCTTGGCAGAGGGTGGGGGGAGGTGTAATGATCAAGATTGATCAGAATCTTGGCATATGGTGGAAAGAGTGCTATCTACTGGATATTTAAATGGCCATGGATTTGCATAGGTGATTTCAAGAGCTCTAGTGTGCAGATGACTGCCTTCTGGGGTGGACTGGGGTGGGACCTCTCACTGCTGTACAGTACCTGCACCTGACAAGTCTCAGAGAGACGGGAGCCAGGGAATATCCCAACAAATGTTCATTATAGATAAGGATCGTTTTACAGATAAGGAAGCAGGCTAAGAAGGATTAAGTAATTTGACTACAGTTACACAGCCAAGAAACAAGTCTGGTGGTATGAACTCTGTGTAACTCTAATCTAGTTTTAAACTACTAGCTGATGCAAATTATTTGGTGTTGGAATGTAACATGTCAGCAAGACAAGTTGCAGGAGTCAAAGCTGGAATCAGATGGTGTTCCAACTAGTAACCTAGCTAATTATTTATTATTATTATTATTATTATTATTATTGCTTTTTCTTTGTAATCTAGTTTAGAGAAAATCTAAGTATGGCTATTATAAATGGTACCCTATCCAGAAGCATTAGTCCTAAGAGATCATATAGGCCACTGGCGAAACAGGCCTTAAATAAAGTATAAAAGCAACTAACTTCCCAAACAAACTTCTTATATTAATAAGTGAGCCAAGTACATAACAGAATTTGTAGAAAAATCCAAAATCCCTAGGAATGTGGCAGCAGACTCTTCAGCAGAGACCAATGTAGACTTGGAAATTAGATTCACAGAGTGCTTCATATACTAAAAATTCTCATCTGATTTCTATATTGAATACAGGGACCAAGCTCCTAGCAACTCATGCCTTGACATATATGTCTCCTTTATAAACCTAGACATTCTTTGGGATGCACATTTGATTTTTTATGTGAAAGGTATGAAAATGTTTCATTGATAGGTAAGACAGAGATGTAGCAAAACAGATATAAAATCTTATTATTCTTGCCGAAACCGGTTTGGCTCTGTGGATAGAGCATCGGTCTGCAGACTGAAAGGTCCCAGGTTCGATTCCGGTCAAGGGCATGTAGATTGGTTGCGGGCACATCCCAATAGGGGGTGTGCAAGAGGCAGCTGGTCGATGTTTCTCTCTCATCGATGTTTCTAGCTCTCTATTTCTCTCCCTTCCTCTCTGTAAAAAAACCAGCCAATGTTTCTCTCTCCGTCTTCCCCACTCCCTTCCATTCTCTCTAAAAATTAATGAAAAAATTAATTTTGAGGTGAGAATTAACAACAACAACAATCTTATTGTTCTGGCCCAAGTGGAAAAGAACGGTTTAGTTTGCACAGTGGTCACTCTTACAGTCAAAGTTAGATAATGA